CATCTGCCCACAGTGCCGTATAAGGCCACTCTTTCTAAAGGCTCGCTGATGGGGGCCGTAAAAGACATCACAATGACTACTATGGTGCCTGCACCCACACGGACCACCATCCCAGGCCCAGGTAGCAAGAGTGCTAGCACTGAACCCCGGCCACTCACACCATTGAATAGTCCAAAGACCAAAACGACTACCGGGTACGCGACCAACTATATTAGTCCCTAACCCTGAAGTCACTTTAACGGCTATCCCCACTATGCAACGGGATAAATGGGTGACAGTGGAAAAGGAGGTGCCCCCTTCCCACAAAAACCACCCGCAGCACACGAAAATAGAGAAGCTCATGGCAGGTCGAACTCCATCATCTTATTTAACGTCCTTGTGTGCCATGATAGCCTTCTTGAGAACAGAGAATCGTCTGACAAACAGCAATGGGAAACCGTATGCACCACACTAGGACTGGGTAGCCTAGAAGCAAAACTGTGCAGGCTCTACAAAGGCAACTACCCACCTCAGGGAAAGCCTCCGCCGATGAGAGTTACCCTAAGCTCTGCTAAAGAAGCTGAAAGATTCTCATTCATGTCATACACACTGGTCGTGGGCAGGTCATCCAGCACTAGAGCCAGACCAGGCCGCCATTGGTCAGCAAGAAAAGTATCTCGCGAGAAGCCCCAAACTCTGAAACCAACAACTAGGGTTGTCCACGGCATAGCCGGAACTGACAACCGGCACAGTCGCAGAAAAGTATGCTCACGACGTCCAGCAATGGTAGTGGTTGTCAGCGAGGACGGGGCTAAATGGGATAGCAGCGGCGGCGGTCTGCAGACTGCCACGTCCCTCACATTTGACGAAGATAACGGCACCTCGGTTGGTGGCTGTTAACTTCGGCTGCCACGAACTTTTAACCAGTGTACTGCAAGCTTGGTACACAGTATAAAAGATAACATCAGTGGGAATGTTCGCTGCTGCGAAAGCAGACCCAGGACACTGCGACAACAGCAAATGGCAGCACCGCCAACCGCTGAAGTCACCGTCACTGTCAACAGACAAGATGCGCAATCAAACCTGGACTCCATGAAACCCCCAGAAACCATTGTGGGAAAAAACATGATTGGGCCGGTTCCACTGGAGCTGGCCGTCCCATAGCAAGTTTCGCCACTGCGCACGACTCCCTCCAGTCTACCAGCTTCGTGACACTCCATGTGGTTAGAAGCATAGCCAAGTAATGTTAGGGGACTTGGAGGTAAAATGGGGGAATTACGATTTCTCTGTTTCTACCTTGCTCCAACGATCATAATCCTGACAGAAACTTGGTTATCACCGGACATTAGCGCCGTCGAAACTAGCATAGACGGTATGCGTCTGTTCAGGAGAGACAGGGAGTTTAAGGAAGGAGGCGGGGTGGCGATGCTTATAAGTGGTAACCTTGAAAGTGAGCGAGCAACAGAAACTCTACTTTCATGGCTCCCAGACTCCATCTGGTGTCAGTTTAAGGTTGAAAACACACCAAGCACCTGGTAGGAGGTGTCTACAGGACACCGACTAGCAGCCTGAAAGATAACCGACAACTGCTGCAAGCAATGTCCCGAGTGATGTCCATCGGATATGACCAGGTCATTATAACCGGCGACTTTAATGCTCCGACTCTCAATCTTGGGCAGGACAGGGGAGCCTCAAGCTGAGGGTTCGGCCGAAACCCACTCAACGTTACCAGAAAGGCTGGGCTGCAAGAGAATATTGGTGATGGCACTCGCTGGGGGTCAGGCAGAAAGCCGTCCATACTGGACTACCTTTCTACCAGCAACCCAATGCTTGTAGAAAATGTACAGGTTCAAACCCCCTCGGCAGCAGCGATCACGGCGTGGTAGTGTTCGATCTGGTACTGAATGAACAACTGTCATGGGAGGGATCTCTCCCTTGTCTTTGCTACAACAAAGTGAATTGCTTGGCGATGAACCAGAACCCGTTGACAGCACCGTGACCTCGGGGGTGGAGCAACCTGTCGACTGACCAAAATTAGGAACTAGTTAGAGATATCATCAAGAGGACTGTGTCTGAAAACGTCCCAGTAATCAAACCAATACCGAGGAAGCAAACCCCATGACTGTAGCGAAGCACTGAGCGCCTTCTGAAAGCCAAGAGGAAAGCACGGCACAAGTGGAGGACCTCCAGAAAAGAGTCTGGCCAAACCGTGTATATTGCCCTAAGAAACATTAGAGTGAGGGGAGACAGGAGGTCGTTCCAGACGAACCTTGCCCAAAGGCTCGACACAAATCCCAAAAACCCATATCGGTTTATGGCAGGCAGAAAATCAACTAGCCAGGGGTGCTTGCATCCTGAAAGGACCAGACAGAGAGAACCTCTTTGGACTAGAGATCGCCGATGCCTTCAGCACCATCTTCGATACGCAACTGAATACGTCCCTATCAAACCAAAATTACCAACTGTCCGACCGAAATTCAGCACCACCAAATGCAGTAGTTACCTGGAATAAAGGTAACCCCTGCTATGGTCCTCGAAAAACTGTCAAAGCCCCACCCAGGGAAGTCACCAGGATGTGATCACATCCGACCGGCTGCGCTGAAACAATGCGTGAGTGCCTTGTGCGGTTCGCCACGTAATCTGTTTCAAAACTCCTCAGACAATCACACGTTTCCACGAGAGCGGAAACGTGCTATTCTGTACCCCATCTTCAAAGGTGGAGACAGGCAGAACCCAAAATGCTACCGACCCATAGCCCTCCTACCAGTGGTGTCAAAAGTAATGGAGAGTCTGGTAGACGACCATATCAGGGAGTACCTAGACAAGAGGGGAGCACTCAGTGATGCTCAACATGGTTTCAGAAAGGGTAGGTGTCCTGTGCCACAAACATTCTGGCAGCAGGTAATAAGTGGACGGCATGCTGGAACCTCCAAATTCCTGTCAATGTTGTTTTCCTGGATTTTACTAAGGCCTTCGACACAGTTCCACACACCGCTCTTGTTCACTAAACAACAAGGTTGGGCATCAGGGGACAAGTGATCTCATGATTGCAGGACTATCTAGACGGTGGACAATTCTTCACAAAAGCCAACAGAGTTTGCTGGACTTGGATGACATCATCATCTGGTGTATCGCAAGGGGCGATTCTGGGTCCGCTGCTATTCCTTCTTTTTGTGAACGACCTCCCACTGAATCTCAGCTCCCCAATCCTACTCTACGCTGATGATGTTAAGCCATGGAGAGCTGTGACGTGAGAAACAGAATCAAGTGCACTGCAAAGTGATCCCAGATTATTTGCAGAGTGGGTAGATATTAATGGACTAGCATTTAACTTAGATAAAAGCCGAGCCATGTTTCTCCGCACCCCAGAATCTCAGAAGGTACCCTATTCTCTCGGTGGGACACAACTCTCACACACCACCACAGAGAAAGACCTAGGACTAATACTAACTGACAAACTAGACGCTAGCCGCAATTATCCAGGAGATGCCTCCAGAGCCTACTCAGTACTGCACTTCATGCGCAGACAGTTGAGTGTCCTGACCCCGGAACTCTTTTTGAAGCCGCATAAGATCTATGTAAGATCCCATCTAGAGCTACACAACGTCATTGCACCACCACATCTGAAAAGAGACGTGAACCTCCTGGAGAAAGTCCAAAGGCGAGCTACAAAGGGTGTAGTGGGAATGAGGCAAAAACCATACCAGGACAGGCTGAAAGATCTAGGGCTCTACACCCTAAGCTACCGTAGATTACGTGGTGACTTGATAATGGCTTACAAAATACTCAGCAACCCAAGTCATCCAAATAGTGGAATCCTACCGGACCGCCACCACGGCGATCCCCGTGGTAATCCGAGGGGAGTTGCCCACCAAAGAGCGAAAACCCGTGTACGATAACACTTCTTCTCTCTGAGAGTTTTCAGCCACTGGAACGCATTGTCTGCCAAGATTGCTACTGCTCCATCTGTTGACAGCTTCGAGAAGAGGTTGGACAGTTACGCATCGACGCACGGTTTGCGTCCATTCAACTGGGATGTGGACTAGGCTGACACGGCTTACCAACTCGGTACGACCAACTGTTACTGAACACTTTGTAAAACCACTGTCATTGAGAACTTGGCTTAACCTTATACCTTCCTGTAGACGTCCCCTCCAGTTACCGTCTCCTACTAAAAGAATTACTATATTCCCATTCGTCCTATCATGTTATTTATTCATCTTCCTTCTGACCTTACGTTCCCGAACTTTGACAAAAGCTCTCCCTATCACCTATTCCCCATGAACCAACCAGTGTTTTATTCTTCCATGCCATTTCCTTTTCCCCAATCTTTTTTTAATATATTCTTCTTCTTCCTCTTTTCCTTTTCTTTTTCTATTTTGTCCCCCTGTGCACTCTCCCTCTCCCCCTTAATTTCTCAGCACATATTTTTCATCTCCTTTTTACAGTCAGTCCAACCAATTGTCTGCTGTTACGACATTTGAGGAACCCAGCTGCACCACAGTCCTTGGAAGAAAAAGCAAATAAACAAACAACACTCCCTACGAATCTAAACAACACCCAACCGCCCGTTGGACTAGCCAGAGCTACAGCAGTCGAGTGAGTAGACCTACTTTATCGGAATCCACCAAAGACCTGGAACCGTTCCGCAAGACCTAGAAGCGAGAGCGAAGAAATCAATTGGCTTACACTAGCTCGTTAAAAGATATTGGATATTGGAAGGGCGCTCGGTTTGAACGAGATTTCCCAAGGATGGCATTTTCTGTGGTAAAAGGGAAGATTGAGAGAGTGCTTGATAAAAACCTGCAAGATCTCGTTCGAGGGATTAGGAAACATGGCGTGGATGAGGTAAATGAAGAAGATAAAGTATCGAAACTCTGAATTAGACTAAATATATTGGTGACTGTATTGATGAAATTAAAAATGAATTGAAGCAGGGTTCATTTTCAGTCAAGGCGAATGCCATAAGCAAATTAATATACGTAAGTTTTGTGCATAAGTGTTTAAAAGTTTAGATCCAAATGCTTGGGTATGACATTAGCTGGGCCGTGTTTAACATTGTGGAAGTTATGAGTTCTCAAAAGTTTACATTTAAACGCATCGGATATTTGGCTGCTTCCCAGAGCTTTCACTCTGGCACAGATGTTCTTATGCTTGCCACAAATCTTATTCGCAAGGTAATGCCTACATACTGAGCTAAATTTCGTAGGATTTGACGAGCGCAAATTTGTATGATGCTGGTATTGCATTATCTGGCATCGCTTGTTTCATTAATACAGATCTTGCTACAGATTTGTACTCTGATATTATGGGTCTAGTAAGTCGCTCAAACTTTATGATGTAAATCTGATACTCTTACATGCTTCTGTTTTAAATGTCTGTGATAATTTCATCATTTTGTGCCTACTTCTTGTTGCTTACAGCTAACAAGGGAGAAAATTTTGAGATATGAGGTTTTTTGGATAGCTATTCTATTATCATGGTTCAAGGTTCTCAGTATACCTACATCTGTCTGGAACAAACCGCTGATAAGATAGGGATTATTGGCTTAGACCCTCAACGTTCAACCAGTTAATCCTGAGTTCTAATCCCTATCCACCTACCTTAAGTTGAAAAATAAGTAAGGGTCGTAGCCCCTTTGTTGCACGACTCACTATTATCACTCCATTGCCACATTTGGAACCGGATGTTTTTTCTTGTTATATTTGTAATATTAGATTTAATAGTTTCTCTTGCGGCATCTTATTCATTGTCGCATTTTGCAGACTTATTTATGCTATTAATTCATGAACACCCGTGTACCAAAACACTGATTACTGCGTCAACCTTCGGCGATTGCTATTTGTGATACAGCTTATTCAACCCTCAACTGTTACCATCTAATTTGGTTACAATTTGAGTTTGCATGGCGTCACCTTCATACAAAGTGTATAACACCAAACAGTTTTGTCTCTATCTGGGTAGAGGTTTTCACAACATAGATGTGTTCTTAAAACTGATCGATATAACGTATGTCGGTGGTTTATAAAGTTAGTTAAACTTGGAAGTCACTGTGAAGTGAAGCTGTTTCAAATGATTGACGGAACACGAAGAGCTTTCGCCTAACTGACTTCCGTGTCGAGAATCAGTAAACCACTAGTTCTTTTGTCTGAGGAGCTGAGTATGGAGACGAAAGGGTAAATAAAAAATCAACAACTAAACAGATCAAGTCATCAATGACAGTCTGTAAGCTCATGCTGTGACCTCAAGTGGACATTAAATTTGAAGCACTCTAATAATGGAGCTTGAGCAACTACAGTGAAGGCATTCCATGCCTTAACAACTCTTAAGAAGTAAAAGTCAACTCTGGTCTCTGTCATGCTACGTTCAGTTTCCAACTGAGTTTTCCATCTGGGGTTTTTATTAGAGCTTAGCTTAAGCAAACAGTGAAGCGTTGGACATGAAGTGTATAAAATATTATGCGTCATTATTCGGTCACTTCTCAGTTGTCTATATTCCGTGAAATATAGACTCAGTGCTGCCATGTCTTCCTCGTAAGACTTGGACCTTAGTCCATGAATAGATTCGGTGCAGCGCCTCTCGGGGCATTATAAGTGGCTCCTATCTTTCTGAAGTAGAGGAAAGACGATAATCCAAAATCCTAGGTAAGGCTGTATGAAACCGTTAAGGATTTGGTGGAAACATCTGCTATCTAACCTGTCCAATGGCTCGTCACAGGGTGATAGGTGCCAGGTCCACATGGGATGGATTTTTGTCACAGCGTAACACTTAAGGTCATGGGAAACTAGGACCCCCAGATTACTTTTACCAAAGATGCCTTCAGCTCTATTCCTTCTAGTTTAAATGTGCGACGAGCGTCATGCCGTATATTTATCCCCTTACACTCCTCAGAATTGGAGGTTAGTCTATCATTGAAGTCGGATCGAATCATCTTGCAAACTGAGCCTGTCGCCTTCATCTCTTATTTCTCTTCATAGCTTTAGTTCAAGAGAAAGGAGAATTTTAGAATTCCTGCATAGGCGAAGCATTTGATCAAGTCAGCAAAAGGATAGGCCTCGAAACAAAACCTTGGTAGACTCCACTAGAACATTCATTTTCTTTGGCGATGGTAGCATTCACTCGGACCTGAAAGAGATAGTCATTTAGATATGATGACGCCCAATCGAACAATGGTAGATTGCTTCCTATTCAGCCAAACTTGTTGATGAGGCAGTCGTTGTTGACATGACCAAAAACCTCAGAGAACCGAAGGTATATCACATCAGTTCTACGCAAACCATCAGAAATGCTAGTTCAGCTTGATGCCGCCGTTTGCAGTTTAATGTTTTTGATGTATGTTTCTTCCTGAACTTCTCGTTATGCTTTTTGATTGAGTTATTGAATTCCAGGAATTCCTGGTACATATTGTAGGCTGAGGTTGCCATCATTTTCGTAGGTATACCTAGATGATTTGCTGGCTTCTAGTTCTTTTGGTTTTACTTGTTGACCGATTTGAAAATAGATGCAACATGAGTAGGTTCTAAAGTTCGTACTCCCTGGCCTGGTGAGAGGTTGCGTGGGTAATCTGCTGATGAATCCATTTAGAAGTTCGGAGCCTTCATGAAGTACTGTAACGTGTGTTTTTCTGGCCCTGGGGATTTCTCCTTTTTTAACCTTTTCAGCTTACAGTACAGCCGACAGACACCCAAATCAACGGTTGACAGGTATACTGTTTGTGTGGAACACATTAGAATTTCTGAATGCAGTCGATGGTTAGGAAGTTTGTAAATATTTATTAGCCAAGACATCATCGACCTCATCGTCACTATTAATGATCCTAATGGGATTCGTTAGATGTGAACTTCCTTTCTTGGCTTGATTAAATTATGCTTTGTATTGAAAAAGACTTTTTGGACCTTATGCAAGCACGCTAGTGATCCGTAATTGGCACCAATGTTTTTCCACCTCTAAAAGCCTCAGGCGAAGATTCCTCATGTGCTTTAGTTGTTTGTTGGTGGATTCAAAGCCACTTTTATTATGCCTGGGCTGCTAGTGTCGTTTTTACCTCGGAAACTTGGTGTGGTTGCATATTACCTTGGGTTTCTCTATGACACGAGCTGAAAGTGGGACACTGGCTTATAGCATATGGCTGTCATGTATTAACATTGAGTGACTATTTATATCCCGCCAATCACGACTAGTTTCTCAGTCTATTTGTTCCAGAGCTTTTTGAAGGGCTACAGTATCAAGTCGTCTGAACTTCTTGTGACATTGGTTTACGGGACGAGTCAGCTGCGTTTTACAGACACACTGAAACCCGATAGCGACATGATGACTCTTGTCCAATGCGAATGCAATCCGGGATAGAGGGGACTTGATTATTTCCCATCGATTTGCTGACTTCGGGTTTTCAGTTAGTCCAAGTTCCTCAACAAGATTGAAGAATCGAGTCTCAGTGGAATCATTGCTTCCACTTTATATTATGTAGTCTAAAAATTTCACTTTGGGGAGATTGAAATCCTCGGAAATTAAGTTGTTTACGCCCTAGTACGTGAGTGGTCAATAACTTCTTACATACAATTATTGTGATGATAATCTGCAGTTAACTTCCCATTTATCACTCCCAATAAACACTTCGCGGTCTTAGATACTTTTGCTGATTCCTATAGACAGTCGAATTTTGGTTATGGACCTGATGAGCTGCGAGAAAAGTGACGTGAGACTCATCGCACCCTCTTCCCAATTAATTCTGTCGTAGCACAACAACAGTTTTCAGAACAGCAAGTTTATGGTCTGAGACTCATGAAGATGCCCATATTTCGGTAACGCCAATAAGATGAGCATTAAACACGCTACTTAATTCTCGTAGCCCATTGATTTTGTTAAGTAGGTTCAGTGCAATTGTATAGATGCAGTTAATGTCTTTTGCTTGGAAGCAGTTTCCAGTATGTGAAAGGTCAAACGGATGGACTGGTGGCTGGCTAAAGTGCAACTCGCTGTTGGACAGACCCTCTCTCCATTCCCGTTTTTCGGTAGTAGGGGACTTGTCAACAGAGTAACTTGTTCTCGTTTGTGTCAGTTTCTTTAGAGCCGTTCATTTTGTGTGATTACAACTCTAAGGTTGATACGCGATTTCAAAAAAATTAGCTGGTGGTTGTCATGGTGAAATTCTATCGACATCATGTTTTCCGGAACTCATTGGATTATCAGGTTCTTACTCCGAATTAGGTTTCTGGACTCTCAGGTATGAGCTCTTTGAGCTTCATGCTTTCCAAATATGGAATGTCTGGTAGGGTTCTTAGCTTTCCTTTATCATTCAGTAGGTGGGATGCCAACAGTGCATTTCCAACATCCTCAAAGTTAGAGAATGTTAATCTCAATAACCTTGGTTTTCTTGTTTGAGCTGAATTTGAACCACAAGACAGCCTTCTTGCTGCGATCGGTTTAACTAACTTAATCTTTAGTTGACAACAGATAGCATTCGGCCATTCTTGTCCTGAAGGCGGTATGGGAGCTCATGACAGTTCGTTAAGTTTATAAAGATCATATCGTCGTCGCCGGTGGTAATATGATTTTTCATCTTATATCGACGCTTTGTTAGTTGATGGGTACTATTGAACTTCTCACCTGAGAAATTACTGGGATTAGGAACTTCAGGTACTTCTATACCAGGTTAAGGAAATACTTTTGATTCCTTCATGTGCACCAAAACTTTGAGCCTGTTTAACTCAATCCTTTATTTATCAGGTTTGGATTTCTTTCAAGGCTGTATGTACCATAGGCTTGACTAGGGTCAAAAGTTGACTTTTTATTTGAACTTACATGTGTCTAGTCTGTTGTGATAGTCTTCCTGGGTTAGTGTTACATCTGAGGTGTTATTAGGTACGCACAGCTTGTTGAAGTACTCAAGAAAAGTGGAGGTAGTAGCTGTTCTCAGTTGTACTATGTGGTTTGACAAAGTCCCTTTCCAGCAGACCGGCGGTACTAAATTCCACTCCTCCGTGCGATTTTGTCAGTTTTCCATCGGCTAACTTTCGACCAACCAACAACTTTCTTTTAACTGTCGTCAGTCAGACAATTAGACAGAATGAACATAGAATCTCGCACCTAAATGCATCAATTCAAGTTGCTACACTTCATCGTAGTATACACTAACAAGTGGATAAGAAAGACTTATGAAATTAGAAATAGGTGTATAAGAGGAGAGGGAATTCCTGTCGTCTCAGGAACCACAGTCAGATAGTCTACACCTCCCTACACGACTGAAACCAACAGTCAGAGACTTCATGGACTGATGCCACGTCTCAGTCTGACCACTCTGAATCCTCTTCTAACTTGATCCAACTTCTGGCATTGTACATTGAATTAGGCAATGGCTAGGCATGCACAGCACATGTTCAAGCCATCTCAGTAGATAAAGATTCACATCTTCATTGACCGACTTGCCTTACCTTATTACCTTTCACTTGACCTCTACATTGCTCATATATTGATTTCACTACACACGAGCAATGCTACGATGGTATTGATCAAAACTCCGTAGCCATTTCATATCTACTTTTAACGGCCATGTCTCGCAACCGTATAACCGTAATACGAACTGCAGCGTAGTATACTCGTCCGTTGATATATAGTGGAATATGTTGCCAGTCGACTTCATAGTTGACGCAAGTTGGCAAATGCCAAACTAGCCTTCTGTATCCGAGCTGAGGTTTCCTCGAGCTGATATAACTCTCCAAGTAAGTGAAGTGGTACACTCATCTGTTTACTTCACTCCCTATCAATAAACTGGAAATACTTGCAGATCAGTCCTGGAGCATCATTTTACATTTCAAAGATGCAAAACGTATGTCAAACTTACTCAGATTTCTTGTCAATAGATTCAGAAAACCCTGCATTTTGTTAGCGTCTTCACCTAACAGGACAATGTTGTCTGCATGTCTCAAGTCAACTAGATGACCTCAAGTTAGTAGGTCAATCTCTATGGAGTCAGAGAGCTGTCGTCAGCTAACTGATAACATCTCCAAGGAAATCTTTAACTTGCACTTTGCACAGTCTGCAGTACACCTAACTTTACCGAGTTTTATTTACACCACCTGATCATGTCTGTACAGTCATAGTATTACCAGGCATTATATTCCATTCCAGCTTGTACAGAGAATCTTCCACCTTCTCAGGCACACGTATTCCTTTTGCCAGCCATTATTAATTGAGAAATGATCTATAAAATTAAATGAGATTTCGGAACTAACCATACAACAGGAAACCCTGGAACACTGATTAGACAAGTATAACCCTAACCTTTGAAATTTGGTAAAAATGCCATAAAACACCTGCTGAGACTGTACCACTATTTTGAAGAGTTTTTGGGGTAGGATGTATACCATTTTTGTTACGTTAATATGCATCCAAAACTATATGGTCAAACATGAAAATTTTATACTTCCCTTCCAAAAGCTCGCCAATGCTGCTGGAAATTGGAATCATTCTGGTTTTCAGTCTCGTTTTCTGAGAGAATCCTACTCTGACGAGCAGTTATTAGCTTACGATCTGGAAACTTATTTGGGAACTTTACCAACCTTCGGTTTCCAGCATCTAGATTTTCATGTCTAATGATAAGAAAACAAGGATTATCTATCAGACAGATAAGCTTTAAGCGAACGTAATGGAACCTGGTCACAAAGCTGATTGCGGTGAACTTATTTCTTTTAATTCTACTTGGCTACATTATCCATTTGTATCTCAGTGTAACTGGGTTTATCATCCGGTCTAATTTTCATGTCTTTTGTTTACCTTTCCATTGTTTACAAGATGAACTCTCCGAAACCATACTTACGTAAGAAGACTGTATTATTGCTGTACAAAGTTTTCTTGAACTATCCTGAAGCACTTCGTATTTGTTTTCCACAGCTGAAAGATAAACTTGATGATCCAGATGCAGGTAAGTGTACTCTTTTATCTTTGGTTTGTAAAAAACACATGAAAGTTTGTTCGCGGTACATTGTGAATGAAGTAGTCCGTGAGTTATCATATCTAGTTACTTTGTTTTGTTGGTACTTATAATCAGTGGCTCGGAGGTTTCAACTCGACTCCACTCACTGAGATCTGGGCTCAACACCAGGCGTCTGTCATTGCCTAGTACATAAAGCTACATTATTACTGAGTTATGCAAACATTACAAAAAAGGTTCATACTTCAGAGCTGCAATCAAGGTTTTTCTTCTTTGACTACTATATGATAACTTGTAAAGCTGAACTTAATTGATGAATACACAACTGAATGGCAGCCATTGAAGTTAGTGCTGAGATGTCACCACGCCTGGTGATGAAACATTCATAACAAAGTATCAAAGCTCAGAGAATACCGAAGGAAAATGAAGGCCATATGGCTTGTTTTAATTATTAGTTTTTACAACCGTATATCTTTCGTACTGATGAATGAATGAGTGAATATTCAGCCACAGTTCAGTAATTCATGAAAACTGTGAAATGTGTAAGTTGCGGGAGTTAAGTAAGTTGCAACTAACCTGAACAGTAATTTCAAATGACAAACGAGTAATATAGTTTCTGTGATTTGTGTTCGCACTACATAACTTGATTCACAGAAATTATACCGTGGTTTATTTTTTTGCTTAAGGATGTTTTGTTGACCATGCCTTTTAACATCTGGAAGAATCTAAAGCTGGAGGGAAGCTCAAAATATCCTTCGACCTGATAAAGTTGAGTAGTCAACATATCATGAATTTTTCGCTTTGCTCACAGGTATTCGACTGCATACCGGTGTGTGTGTATTCGACTAGTATACTGCCCTCGTATGGTTTTAGTAGAAGTCATCATTTTTACTCATCTGACTTCGTAAGAGATATTGGCAAAGTTGACCAAATAATAAATGTTGACTACTCTGCTAAACAACATGATCTAATCATCAAGTGGAGCAGCAATACTTTTGGCAATGGATTCCGAGTGACGACGAATTCACCAATGCATTTACTACTCTTCAACTCATGAAGTTTATGTAAATAACTACAGTTTGAGTTTATGACTAATCCTATTTTAGTTTGTTTATCAGATGTACCACACAGTGAAACAGTATTATTTGCTACATAAAACACATGGTAAACAAACTAAATAGAAACGTTCTACTACAACATCCAAATCTTACTTTTAGATATTAGAGATTTTGACTGGTTTTGTGTAGCTTCATTGACCATATCACAGTTTAGTGAATGAGTGTCGAAAAGACTATGGTTTAAAGCCAGGTTGTCCTTGCTGCTTCCTCACATGTTTTCAAGGTATATCTTTGTTAAAATTTACTGTTGCTAATTGCTAAATTCACCAGTGCACTTTAAGTATTATTAAACTCTTTACAACGGTCCCTTTCGAACAACCACACAGTGTAAGTAATTATCATTTAGTATAAATATATCAAATATTTTATTCGCAGAATCCCGATCTAAAAGTGGATCAGCTGAAATGCTGTAAAGCCTCATTGTATTGATGGTAACACATCATAAAAGCTCACTATAGTGAGATAGTAATGAAGACCAAGTCAAATTTTCGTGGTTGTATAGACTTTTATTGAATTTAGATCGTCAGTTTAGTTTTATGCTCATTTCAGGTGTACAGTCCGCGGCTGTTAATGTTATTTGTGAATTGGCTCGTAAAAATCCGAAGAATTACCTCTCTCTTTCACCTATATTTTTCAAACTTATGACCACATCAACTAATAACTGGGTCCTTATCAAAATCATTAAACTGGTAAGAAGATTATTTTGATGAAGGAAAAATTGGTTTTTAAATTTATATGATTGCTTCATGGACTTCTGTCCCATTTTGCTGTACGTTAGACTGCTACTGCGACTGACACAACGTTGTGGTGTGATTTAAGTGATTATTAAAAACAAACGACAACAGTCTCGAGCTGATTTCTTGCTTATCAATATTCATAACCAAGATGTATCTAAGAATTCACAGAAACTTGTTTTCCTTCTGTTTGTTATTTGACGACCACTTTGTGCACATTGTGATCTCATCAAAGTCAGTAACCACCTTAAAAACGTAGCATTGAAAAATACTGGTTTGCATTTTGAAAAAAACAGCATGGATACAGATTACAGAAACGTTTTACATAAATGTTAATGTACACAGAATTTAGGTTGAATATGATCTTTTGTTCATCTGTAAACACGTACCAGCTAGACTTATTTATTTTCATCCTATTTAATCAACCTTTTAATCCATATGGTATTTTTGTATAAAGTGACTACTATCACCGATGATCTTCCTGATTGTGGTCAACTCGACTGGATCATGCAACAAACTGGGGAGCGAGAAGATGGAGATGCGCTGTTTGATCGACGAAAAGACCCCAGAAGAAGATTTGGATTTCGCCGACGATGATTTATGTCTAATATCTTGTAGCACACACTCGAAGATCTACAGGCAAAAACCAACAAGCTGACAGAAGAAGCAGGATAGCGAACACAGGACTTGTTTCAGGTGAACGTGGAGAAGACAGAGGTGATGAAGATACGCAACCACCACCACCACCACCAACAACAACAACAACAAGCACCAATCAGCATGAGCGGGAGAAATCTAAACGAAGTTGTCTCTTCCACCTACCTACCTATCTACCTAGGCAGCGTTGTTACAACGACGGGCATCGGCGACACAGATGAGGACATGAAAGCTAGCCAGGATAGGAAAGACAGCAAGACAGGCCTTCCTGCATTAATCTGAAATCAATGTGGTGATCTACTGCAGCACACTGCATTGCACTCAGCATAGAGCGTGAACGAGATCTGGATTTCCAACTCTAATGCCGGTCAAGTCAGTGCTTCTATGTGATGGTTGAGAGACTTGACGTGTTACGGTAAGCATTTCCAAGGAACTACAGACATGTATGAACAGCTGCCACCTACGCTCACTCGATCCTGAAGATCAGATGGCCAGAATAATGAGAATAAGTGAGGAGGAACTCTGGCTGGCTGGCTGGCTGGCTGGCTGGCTGGCTGGCTGGCTGGCTGGCTGGCTGGCTGGCTGGCTGGCTGGCTGGCTGGCTGGCTGGCTGGCTGGCTGGCTGGCTGGCTGGCTGGCTGGCTGGCTGGCTGGCTGGCATGGAACGAAGCAACCAAGAACCTATCACGCAATAAATATTCAGAGGAAGAAAGTTGGGATGGATTGTATTGGACATAGAGTGAGAAGACGATTTGGGGACATGACGTGTCAGGTCAGGCCAGGCCAGTTCAGACCTTCAAGTGGAACCTGCGTGTGAAACGAGGAGTTGGGGGTCCGAGGGTGGAATGTAGGAGATGGTGTGAGGAAGAGATGAAAGTTTCTGGGCAGCCACGGAGACTGTAGAGAAGAGAGTGAAATGGTGACGTGGTACTGAAGTTGTATGTTCCACTAGGAACTCAAGGGACAAATAGAAAAAACAAAAACTTGATGAATGGTAAAGACCTTTTTGAATAAAGTGAGGTTATATGTGGCTTGTTGATCTGTGAAAAACACTTCACTTCTATCACACTCCCGTCCAGCTAGCAGTACAGCTTCATCCTCAGACCCCCATGATGACGTAGGAATCTACACTATAACGGTAACCGCTTTTGTTTTACCGCTATCAGACTGACCTGCTTAGTATTGCAGAACATCGAGGGAACAAACGTTCGACCAGCGTAGCTCTTTGTGGCATTGCGATGTGCAAGTCCGACCATTACGTCAGGATAGAAGCCATTGGTCAGGACTGTCCGTATTCATATTACCTTAATATGATATGCAAATCGTAGTAGACGTAAATGTAATGAACTTGTCTTGTTTTACAATGTGGTGTTGTCCAAAGCCACTCTCAGTGCAAGTGCATTCCTACATTGTCTTCATCCTAATCATCCTCTCAAATTTCATGATTGCTTTTTTCCTTATCTTTATATTTTTATAAATGTACTACTTTCATTTACTGTCTTCTTCATTTCTCTGTGTTTCGTCTTGATGCTTTCTACCTCGATGTGCTAATGTGAGATGTGGCAGTATAAACGGTTATGCAGTAATGCTACGTTCCATTTTGTTATTGACTAACTGACTGGTTTCGCGACGTACTATTTGTACCCCTTTTTGTTGAAATATAGTTGACATGTAATCAAATGACCAGAGTATTCGACTAAGTTCTACAGAAATTTACGAATTCATTAAGTTCTATCCACATCACTTTACTTGTTTTTATTCATTGATGATAATGTTGTCGACTTCGTTTCATATGTAAACCCCTTTTTGCCAACAGTTTGGTACGTTAACACCTTTGGAGCCTAGATTAGGCAAGAAGCTAATCGGACCTTTAACAAGTCTAATTCATAGGTAGGTGGGTATTTAAGATGTTGATGATTTCATTTTATTGTATTTTGCTTTACCAGTCTTCTACATAACTGAGTGATATGCGTGTTATATTTCAGACATACACACCTTAAGAAATATGGATAAACTGTATGGTGGTAGAGATGAATACTACTGGTCAAGATTATCATATTGTATTTCACTTCCACTTGATTATTTTAACCACCTAGTACAAGATTTTCCCGATCCTACATCAAAGATTGGTTTTCACACTTTGCATCTATACCCACCCATTTCCTATTTCTAGTATTGCTTGGTGATATTGAAACTAGTTGAGAAAGATGATGGGTCGGTGTAACTTGTCTCCTTCAAAATAAAAAAAATGTTCATTTTGGTATATTCTCAGGTATTATGATTCTGTTTCAGGAGTTTAGAAGAGTTACACAACCCATCGGTTCGAGATTTTATATAATATCCCTGTATTACTGAGTTTCTACTAACTTGCTTCGCATACCAACCGAAAAAAGTCAAGGAAACATAGTGATCTAGACACCAGTTTGTTGACTTCAAAGGTGTATAAGGATGAATGTTTGCTAATCATATAAATGACTGATTTTTCGTCACTTCTATACACGTCTACAGCGAATTCTTACACTGGGTAGTTAACTGTCTAAAAAACCACATCTATTTGTGGCTAGTATTGACTGAGTGCTGACATTGAGTAGATGTTGGAATTCTTTATTCTGACTGATTTCTTCAAATCTGTCCATTGTGATATAGGTTTGTCGTACCACACTTTTTTAATGCTTTTGGATAAATGGCGAATTGTCCTAGCTGCTAGGAGTGTAGTGTTTAGCCTGAAGTTATGAGGAAACTATAAAAGGTAATGATAGGAATTTTTGGCGATGACAAGAAGAGTACCAAATGTTATTGAAAGCAGAAGTGCAGTTGACACTTCTCAACCTCCCATAAGACTGGAGACAACTTCTTCTCGAGATACCTGAAAGAAAAGGTTTTAGTTTCTACATTCATCACAGAGCTTACATTTGCTTCAAGTTGATAGTATCAGTTTTCAAAGAGTCGTGCGCATTACCTGAGGAACCTCACCTCTGACGGTGGAAAGCCGTAAGGCAAAGTTGAATGTTTGGTGTATCCAAACGTTTTATTGTTCTTATGCAGCCCATAGTAAACATCGCTTAGTGCCACTGGTTAAGCAACACTAATTTCGGCGTACAAGGCTTCACTAGGTCAGGTGGATTATATGTTTATGTCAAGTTTCTAATTTAAAGCTTGGTAGTTAAGACAACCAGTTATCGATTTTTGCGTTATGAACTGTACAACTCCAGTGGTTTGAATAGTGAAGTCGGTTTCAAATCTTTCTCCATCTAATCTGATATGTTTGATAGCCTACAACTCTTCCGTTCAAATATGAGACCTATGAGACCACAATCTACAATGAGCTACATATACTCAAGTCAGTCGATCGGGCTAGGGAAACGAGTAATTGGGGTTCATTTCCTAGTGGTGAAATATTTACCAACAACTAGTGGACGAAAAGAAAGTTTATTCCACTTCACAACGTTACATAACAGTATCGAAAAAATAACTATTTTCATAAAGCATATGAAGGGTAATCAGTTCAAGGATAATTGTCCTTAGAATCTCTTCTCAACAGTATGTTGTTCTCTATACGGACATTTTTACCATGCAATGCACATAATGTTTCAGTGTAATCGCAATTCAGGCGGTATAATTCAACAATGTGTTTTTTAACTATTTATTTTATAGCACTTCGGCTATGTCACTGTTATATGAATGTATAAATACAATTGTTGCAGGTATGTGTTTATTTTTTATGGATCATGTAGTATTGTTGCAATTTTTATTCTTGTATTTTAAAATTAGATAAAAAGTAGAAAAGATGACAGCATTGATGCGATTAACTGCTAACAATTGGACTGGAAAAAGGTGGACTAGTTTTGAGTTTCTCTTAATGGTTTAGGCGAAGATAGATAATGCCATTGGTTTTAATTTATTAACTTTTTATCTCTACCTAAACTTTGAAAATATTATTATCTAGTTTAAGCCTCAAACTGAACTACCGTATAATACTCATTAGTAACATGATTCAAGGTAGACATCGCAAAGTTCTGGTGAGAAGTTGTAACCTATGCGGTCGACAAATCGGAAGTAAGGTGGATGGCAACTAAAGACCTTTGTAGATAGTCACATTATATTGTGAATTGATGAAAGTAGGGAACTATGAACCACCGACCCAGTGATTGGATGGTTAACGTGTTCTCCGTGAGACCACAAGGTCCTGAGTTCGATCCCTGGTGGGGTTGTAGGTGCGTGCTGTTGTGAAGTCTCACACTGAAACGAAACGGTCGTCCAGTGCTCCCAGATTTCCAGTGGTCCTCTGACTGATGTCAGTCAGTGATGAATACTATCTTAAAAATTACTGACTGCTCATCTTGTCACCATTTCTTTTTTTCCAACCTTAACTAAATGTTCTCTTGCATTGTAAAATAATAATGATGTTAAAGGTTTGTGTACTCAGCATTGAATGAGTAACACCGATTGTGTAAGTGCTGATGATACTATCGAGCTATTCAAGCCTCACTAAGTGGAATGCCGTGTAAACTCTTGGTGAATTGGTTGAAAGTCAATAAACCACAGCTTTATTAGTGGATAAATTTCTGTGTATTAAGAGCTGACGGATTTTACATGAAAGTTAACCATATGAAATCAACACAGTCGACACAAAGTTCATAATCTACGGAATGCTTTTTACCCAAAAGTGCCTAGTAAAGTGTTTACTAGTCTCTCAATATCCCTAAGGCTTTAGTGTGTGTGTGGTCTACTCGAACTGAAGCCTTCATGCCTTTCACACTTGTATATATTCTCGTTATGATATGATCAAATTTAGTACCGATTTTTGGGGTGGCATCTTCTTTTTCCTGTTTATCTGTCATATTTGAGCAATATACATTTTTAGTATTTTTTGATATCTCATTTGAGCTCTTTATTTTGTATAGTATTGTGAAATTTAATACTTATTAGGTATGTACATAAATCTGTCATTGTTTATCACTGCAATCATGATCTACATGATTAACTTTTTCAATCTATTATGCAAGCAGTTGTGAACTATGAATCACTTTTTTGTGAGAGTAAATCAGTAACTCAATCAGTGACACTCTCTTTGTATATGCAAACCATTTATATGAGCAAGTGGTTACATTTAATTATTGAGTCAACTAACCAGTTGGCCAATGTTTGTATTTAAAAGCGTAAAGTTTATATTCCCGTCTGCCACAACATAAGTGGACACTAATAATATTCGCTACACAATGTACAAACCATCAAACTTGTCGTTCGATCAATATCATAATGTCATCTAGAAGTATGTCATAGTTTTCAAGACGAAATTGTTATTTTCTTTTAACTGGAGCTTGGGACACTCATTGTAATATTTTTGTTAGAATATCTAACTGATTTAGCATATGACTTTAAATGCTCTTAGTTTATGTGGAGCTGTGGCTCATTGATTTAGAGGGGGTGACTTTTAACCAGTGGGTAACGGGTTCTAGCCCTGCCCGACCTATTGAGGTTTGGACAGCCATGTAGTATCATTAGCCCTTACATAATAGCTGTGGCTCATTGTCTAATGCACGAATGTGCACAAAGCTGCTGGGCGCACTTCATTCTTTCATTCACTTGTAGTTTATCGTAATCAAAATTCACTCTTAACTCCTCGGAATTGGTTTGCCGTTTATGGGAATGACTATTAGACCTGCAGCCTGTAAATGACATATTCTTGTTTAGCGAAAATTCTGAAGAAATGCCGGCTTTTCTAAATGCTTTCAGCAAAATCTTAAGCATGTTTTTCATTATGTTTCTCACTGAGAAAAGTTAAGTTAATACTGCAGAACTTGTTTTCACTGACATAGTTTATGGATAAAAAGTGCAATGGCAACATAAAAGTTGCATCGACCTTGACAAATTAGTTGCTCACAAACTTCAAGGGTCGATTAACACTTGCAAGTCTGCACGATCTGTAGCGATTAAAAGATGTATGTTCTGCAAAACAGTCCTTCGTATGACTGTGAACCTTAATTGTTGTACTTAAACGATATTATAAGTAGGACCATGCAGCGAACTATTGTTGTTTTTAGGTGTTTGGATTAAAAAATTGTCACTTCGATTCTAACAATCAGAAGTTATGGTTTACACTTCGGAATGTTAAGAAAAATCTTATTTTGGCTTTTTGAAACACACTGAGATTGCAATTAAATAAGGATCCAAAAAGAATCAAATTTCCTGCGGTATATGGGTAACACATGTGTAGATATTTACAAACTTTACTGCTTCCCATTTATATACTGAAAATACATCAGTACTTATCAACTGGATGAAAATTCACAATGACCAAAAAGATGTGTAAAGGACTAATGGTCTGTTACTAATACTTTGGGCAGTGTACGAAGCGATTTACTACCTGAATGTGGCCTGCATGCTGGAAGTGATCGTTCGGTTGAAGAGGCGAATAACACACTTGAAAACTGATTTAACCAACAAACTGTATCTTCTTACTAGAAGGTATTTCCTTTCTTGAGATTATTCTCAGCTATGAAAGAGTGGTAAACAATCATTCACTCAATTGAAGTATAATATATGGGGTAGATTTAATCTCACTTTATTTCACTGTAACTGTATTCTCATGAATAAGGCATCACCGAGGAGATCACTTTATCTTTACTTTTTGTTTTTTAGATTTTTAATGTTAACCATTGTATTTAGTGTGAACCTTTTATGTGTATGATTTGTATTTAGTCCTCGCTTTTTTAGTCCACAAGTTACCAGAAGTTGGTTTAGTCAAGCTTTGGTGTAATATTTCATCTCTTTTATTTTCTTACTTTTTCAACTTTCAGTGCTAATTTCAATATCTTCTGGAATTCCTAGTCATCAAGCTTCTATACAGGTAAGTGGAATTATGCTGCACATTTTAGTGAAATGCCTATCAATAACGACATTGATGTTTCTTTTCACACTTATGCCGAATATGGTTTAAAAATGATTTTATGCTCATTTCTTGTACTTATCGTATTGAGTCAGTGTATATTGTTAAGTACTTTTATGTTACAACTATTTATGGTAGTCAAGTTAAATTATCTGACGAATTAGTCTCCATTTCACTCAAACAGACAAGAATCAACATAGAATGTTGCACTCAAGTGCATCAGTTCAAGTTACCACGCTTCACAGTACCATACAAAAAACAAAGGTGGATAAGAAAGTCTATTATCAAAGTAGAAAAAGTGTTTGGAAGGTGAGGAAATTTAAAAAGTAAGGTTCATTAGAACATCTAAGCTTTAGAAGAAGCCAAAGAGTGAATACATTACATCATTTCGACCTATTTTCAGCGTTGTCACCGAGAGTCCTCAACCACTGATTTCTGTCGTCTCGGGACTCCAGCCAGGTATTCTGAATCTCTTTACGCGACTGAAACCAGCAGTCAGGGACTTAATGAACTAGTGTCAGGTCTTAGTCTGACCACCCTAAACTCTCTTTTAATTTAATCCAACTTCCCCTAGCATTGTACGTAGAGGTAGACATTTCACTCGGTGTAATAGAAAAAATGAAGAAGGAATAACTAACCTTTTGCTTTCAAATTCCTCTTCACTGTTGATATGTTCAAAGTTTCTATACCACTTTCTGAAAGCTATGTTATCTGTATATACATAAATTATGTTTATACAAAACCAATGTGTTTAAAATGAAATAACTTCCACGTTTTACTCGAAATTCTTGTCTGAGCTTCTTGATATTCAATGGTGACTAATGTAGTTTATATGAATTCACTTTCATGGATGTTTTATATCAGCTATGATTCGTAGAAAGTCAGGAACTCACTGTTTAAACTACATTAGCGGGTATTCGGTGATCTGTTATTGAATCATTAAGGATGATTTTAGTGTATCAATCGAAAAATATCTGTTACTTATATGTGTAGTAGAGCTGTGGCTGTGTCGTTTATGGAGATGCCTACTAAACGGGTCCCAGTCCTGCTCCACTTATCAAGGTCTGGGCAGCCAGTAGTTGTCACACAATAAGTGTGGCTCATTACTTAATGCACGAATGTGCACAAAGTAGTAACAATGCATTTCGCTTCATCCATTCATAGTACAAGCTAGAAAAATACTGGATAAGTGTTGCACTTCATATTTTCAGTGACTGAAGTTGTATGAATTCATAAACTTTCCAAGCATACTTTCTTATCATAGTAATGAAGGAATTCCTTACCATACCTTCACTTATCACTGTAACGGAGCTGTGGCATACTCAGTTAGGCATCGAACAGATTTAATGCTTATCAAATCTTTCTGTTCAAACTCATTTAGTGGTATGAAAGCGTTTGATATGACAAAAACCAGTAGTCTCCACTAGGGTTGTTCACTTTGACTATTCCTACTGATGTGCTATCGGATATAATCTTACGTACCTCCAACTTCCCACAGATCGAATTACTACCTGAAGACTATCTGTTTGACGATTTAATTCCTTTTGGCGATGGTATTCACGAAATGTTGAATCTTCTGAATAGTTTCAAAAATATGCATGCGAATATGTATGCCTTTCGCACTTGTCAAATGTAATACAATCTTCAGTAGTCGTCTGTATAAAATTTTAGTTTAAAGTTCGGGGGTAAAGTTGAGGAATCTGTTTGTCTTTTCACACTAACTGGATGGTTGGTAACGAAGTTTTGGCTGGAATAGAAAAGGTTCATTTGACGTTTATCGACTTATGCCATTTGTGGTATGGACGAAATATCCAGCTACATATTAAAGGATGGTTTTACTGCGCAACAGTCTGCTGTATCCTGTCACATGCTTGTGAGACATGAACATAGAAAGTTTAAGCTATCAGTAGGCTATAGGTTCTTCGTATTGTTCAAATGTGGTGGAATCACCATGTGAATGTTATTAAGGTCAGGTGTAAAGTATTCAACTTCTACCAGTACGGCGTGGTTTAGAAGGTCCGCTAGTCCAACACTTGTCACATAATACATATAGTTTATTTGTTAGTATGCGCAATTGTATGCGGTTATTGAAGTGTATCTGTCTCTATCTTAGTCATTTTCATACATACTTCCTCTAGATTCGCGCTGATATGATGCGAATCAATTCAAAATTGAGTTGCTCGTCTGTAAATCTGATGACTGAAAGTATTTTGACTAATCACTAACTGACAATCTAAGATTTATGAAATCATTTTTCATGGATACTATTAAAGGTGTACACTTATAACCTTATTTTCCACTCTTGTAAATCGTGTTTCGTTTGTGTACAGTAGACTAGAATCAACAACTTGATAATAGTATGAAGTGGTGACAAGAAACCCTGAATGATCTATCTCAGCTGCGATCACGCCTATGTAATTTCATTCACTTTGTAACCAGCCTAATAGTCAGTTATATATTTTGTCTACTTAGTGTTGTTAGTGTGTTTATGTTAACTTTTGTTTTCTTCCTTTGTTTTAAGCTCGATACTTTATCGGACTAGTATGTCCTAAGTTCATGTCTTTGTACATGAGAAACAACTTATTTATACTATAGTTGCTGCTATTGACAATGTTCATATTTTGTATGGAATTGGAATCAATCTCTTTCTGATCTATATGACAAAAACTTCAGGAGCTTATTAAGCTTGGGACTTATTTACAGCAAAATATTACTAGTGGATATTATTTTTTCGTGTTAATAATGTGGCATTCAGCCATGAGTATATGAATTTATGAGAATAATTCAATAAGTGGGATTTATACTTTATAATCTATAGGATACATTAGGATAACGATCGTAGTTCATGTTGTGAAATTTTTTTCAATTATTTCATCAGTTCAGCGGAGAATCCTTGCTTACAGAAGTTTACATAAGCTGGGCGATGATACAGACAAGATTGGGACCGTATATTCATGGAAATAATTTTGACTAAAATATTTTAAGTTGATATTCATCAGTGAATGACATCAGTTGGGAAATTATTAAAAGCCTGAGAGCACTGAACAGCTGTTCCGTCCCAGTACGAAACTGCTTAACAGCGCGCATCCATGACTTCACCAGGGGTCCCGTATTAGTGCGAAACAGCTAACCACTGCTTCCAGTTTTTAAATGCTTCTCCAACTGATTTCAGTTCATGATGAATACCAACTTACCATGAAACTTCAAATTGAATTATTCATCTTAGACGTTTAATAAATTGGTACTATTTGATATTTATTCTCATCAAGATAGTGCACATTGGCTGTTTATTGAATTGAATTGAATACTTATGATAATTTTACTTTCATTCTAATTTTCTTTTTGCTTCCTAGCTATGTGTTCAGAAGCTACGTATCTTGATCGAAGACTCAGATCAAAACTGTAAGATAGGAAGATTTGTACTTCTAATATCTTTTCTGTATTATATTACTCAGATATCTGCGTAATTAAAAAGGACATGAAATCATTTTTCAAGGGCACTTGAAATATTTCTAAATCCCCACACTCCTCTCAAAATTCAATTGAACTAGTGCTCATTGGTGACTAGCTTCGGGAGGTGATTCCCGAAGTTCCAATGAGAAGTCGTGACCAGTGGGGCCAACCTGATGGTCTTGAGGACAGTTACTCAGCGATGACATTGGGTGGCGGTTGCGCTATGTCGTGAATTGACAGAAGTTGGAAATATGGACCATTGGACTCCGACCCAGTGGCTCAATGGTAACGTGCTGGTCACCTGAACCTGAATGTAGTTCTCTTTACGGATTAACATCAGCGGGGATCACGTTTCCAACTTTGTCTATTCCACCATCGTTCGTCAATCTGTTGTAAACAGCAAACATGTCAAATGGTTTTTTTTTCAAGTTTTATTGACCCGTACGTCACATGACAATTTCTTTCCCCTTTTGTGTGTTATGTCGTAGCTATGTAGGCTTACACTACGTATACATTCCTTATGCTGATAACTACCATGTACGCAAAAAAAGCCTTATGGAATATTCTCATACTTAACATGCTTACTTCTTAGAAATTGATAATTAACTACTTCATATTAATTTCATTTCTAAACTTATTATTTTTTCTCTCTTTCCTCAAGTAAAATATCTGGGATTATTGGCAATGCGAAAGATTTTATTATATCATCCACAAAGTGTTCAACCGCACAAAGATTTAATATTAAGCTGCTTAGATGATAAAGATGAATCTATCAGACTGCGTGCATTGGATTTACTCCATGGAATGGTATCTAAGACAAATTTAACAGATATTGTTAAACATTTAATGATTCATATCAGCAATATGTCAGCTGGTACGCATTATCGTAATGAGTTGTTGAACAAAGTTGTTTATATATGTTCACAAGATAATTATCATTATGTTACATCATTTGAATGGTAAGGAAGTTGGAATTGTTTAGTGTTGTTGCATGTTGTTTAATGTTCTTTTATTGGGTACATATGATTTTTTTGCATGAACGTTGACAAAAATACAATTCTTTAAATACTGTAAATAAGTCACTGTAAGAAGTGACTTCACAGTTCTACTTACCGAATAGTCATGTTGGTCTTGATGAATCGTCTGCTTATAGTGTTGGTGGAATATTTGGCCACCTTACGAGAAGAAAGTATACACCACAACGATGTGCATGTACAAAGTAGACGATGTGAAAAACCTCTATGTACCATTAATGTTGCTTTACTATATATATCCCTTAGATTCCACAAAAAAGCCTGGAATTATCTGGAAAGCATTCACAACCAATCGTGGCATACCGAACATTCGCAGAAAGCCATGCAATCATACAAATCTCAGATTGGTTTAGGGGCTTTCTAGAAAGAAAGCCCCTAAAAGTGTAAAACATATCAAGGCTATCGAGAACATAAATAAACGGTTACTTTTTATACATATTCAACTTGACAATAAACCTTTTGTCATTTTTACCGCTTCTTTCTGTTTTCGAGGAACTGAGCGACCCTCAAGGGTGAAGCCTAAGATTATTTTTTAAGTATCCATATATATATATGTATATATATATATATATATATATATATATATATATATATATATATATATATTGCATCAGAATTAGTATTATTTACTGGTCATTATGTATTTGGTCATTCATTAATAATCCTGAGCATTTCACGTGTTCAGTGAGTCTCTTGAATATGAAATTTTGAGGTCTAGCGCAGGATTATACTTATGAAAAGTAAGTTAGTTGGTGTGTTTTCGAAGTTATGTTGAAGAAGTTGGTTGAAACATGAACTTTTCGTGTTTATGCATCATAAATCTTCACTTATATGCTTGTTACCGAGTCTAGATAAACCAAATCACAATAGAGGTTTGTAGTCATAAATCACTAGTTCACATCATATCTATTTTCCATTCCGTTTTGATTGAACAAGATTAGTTTTATAGTACATTATTTCTAATACATTTACTTTGTATCAGGTATGTTACTGTTCTTGTGGAGTTAGCTAGTATTGATGGGATTCGAAATGGTGAACTTTTGGCAGCTCAACTTATGGATGTTGCAATTCGTGTACCAACTGTTAGAGCATTCTGTGTTGAACAGATGGCAATATTATTGGATTTGAGTCATTCTTTGACAAATGGGGCACAACAAAATGCTATTCAAGAAACACTTCGTGCTGCTGCATGGATTTGTGGTGAATATGCAAAGTAGGATTATGGTTTACTTTATATTATGCTGTGTGGTTTTTGAAGCCGTAATAGTTTAACTTAGTTTATTTTAACATAAAATTATTTTCTTATGACTGTATGTAGAATGTTAATGGAGATTCTGTACACGAATCAGTTCCCAGAAGCTAATCGATATAGCTGTCAATCCCTATGTGTTGTTGTACGCTAATCGAAGTCTTCCGATAACATAATAGGACTACTAAGCTGAATCTAAGTGGTACAACACTTCCGCGAAATGAATTTTAGTATTCATTGAGATTCTTTTGGCTGTTTATCTGGAAAGAAATAGTACATATCTTGCTAATTCTGTCTTTACTATTTATTGATATACTTGTAGTGCTCCGTTGTTTTATTGGATCGAATTGTTCGACCTCTATTGACATATGGGCTGGTATGCGGATGCCTCGATATTGCCTGAATGTTAATTATGCTAATCTAGTTGGATGTGGCTAGCAGAGGAATCCAGTACTCGCCTTTCATCCTATTTGGGACTTGTCAACCGACTCGGCAACCAAGCAAATTACCATAATTGACATTCAGGTAATATTGAGGCATCCGCATACCAGCCAGCACATATGCCAATAGAGGTCGAACAATGCGATCCAATAAAACAACGGAGAATTACAAGTACATATCAATAAATAGTGCTAACTACTAGCCGTTGTACGAGAAGTGGCTATCGTTCCTCCGTGGGATAGTGAATGAGGCCTTGGCGTTTGAAGTGATGGATACGAGGTCCGAGTGTCGGTGGGAACAACATCACTGACTGGGGTGCAGGTACGTGCGGCTGACTTGTCCCCAGAATAGGACGAAACGCGCATCTTGGACTCTTCTGTTAACCACAACCAAGAAAACCACCATAAATCTGTCTTTCTCTGTGTAAATTTTGTGTGTAGGTGTACTCCACACATTTTTAGTTATTTGTGTACTTTTATTGTGAAATAGTCTACGATTATTGTTTTTATACTTTGATATATAAAGGACCGAATTGCTCAACCTCTGTTGTCAGACAGGCTCTTATGGAGAGATGCCTCGATACTGCTGGATATTCATGATGTTGTATTTGTCTTGATGACTAGCAGTGGAATCCAGGATGATTGTTTCATCCTGTTTGGGATTCATCAGATGGATGTACCTGCACCACAGTGAGTGATATTGTTTCCACTGAGATTCGAAGCCAGTGCCCATCACTTCAAACACCAAAGCGTTGTCCACTAGGCCACTGAGACACCATAGCCACCTCCTGCGCAAACGGTCACAGCTGTTGTTTTGATACTTGTAATTTCCTATTTGCTACACGGAGCCGCTTAGGCGTCTGAAGCGATGTGTACTGGTTTTGATTCTCAGTGGGAGCAACACCATTCACTGGGGTGTAGGTGTACACCCAGCTGACGAGTCCTAAACAGGACGTAACGTACATCCTAGATTTCACTGCTAGTCACCAAAATGAATATGATCTACGATTATTTAAAGAATGAGTCTACTAGAAGAATCCAAGTATGACATGCCTGTCATGTACACATTAACATTGATGAACAGTCTGACAAATAATAGTCAATATTTTCATATCCTTCTTCTTTCTCTTGTGTATGTGAAGTGATTTGCCATACTAATTTTCCTACACCAGTTTTTTTGCGTACATATGTTCATTATACTTTATCAGCTGTTTGTGTCAACGAGAAACATCATGAAACATGGTAACACAGAGTTATGAAATTGCCAAAATTTTATAAGAGATGAAAAGTAAGTGGTTAAGTGTAAACTATGTCATCTAGGTTCTCCAACCGTGAACTCTCAGTCTTTCATCAACTCTAGCTAGATAGGTTATAATTTCTAAATGAGTCAGAAGAATAGCTAGCTTCTTTATATATTAGTATGATGTTTTATTTTGGTTAGCCTTCTCCCAGCTTAACCATTATCGCACATAAGAGTACCCAATGGTTCAGTATGTGTCACCTTGATAGATCCAGGCTCACACAGTATAATCAACTGACTTGTCTTCTTTCCCAACAACTATAAATCCAGCCTCATTGTTTGATCCCATCACCAATAAAGATGATCGAAAAAACGCAAATTCTAACGAACTTTAAACAGTGGAATACACTTATTCGGCCATAGGGAACTATAAAAAAGGCAGTTGCAGCGAAGGAAAATTTTTCTTTTCGAGCTAAGCTTTAAGTTCGTGAAAACATGGTACAATGGGTGGAGCATTCTAGAATTATTTCCGGCCAGGGCTCAAAGTATATTGAATAACGAAACGAAGTTACGTAATACAATTAGGAGTTTATAGTAAGAAGATAAACAGGGAAGCAGTAGTTCTTCGGAAGTTCAAACCAACGGCGTGTTTCCAAACGGGTTACTTTCAACCTTTGTTTTTACCTTAACCTTCATAAGACCTTGAATGTCACATATTTATCCTGCATTATGCAAATATACTTTTCATTTTCATAATCCCTTGTTTACTTTCTTATCATAAACCTTCACTTGTATTACGCAACTTCCTTTCAGTATTCAATGTAATTAGGCTTTGTTGATTGTATTTCATGCTGTTAGCAATAGAATTCAAAGGGTAAATTGTATTCTGTTGTAGTCTCGCCCTAATGTAGACAGTTCCATTGACACTAAAACTCAACAACTGCTGCTTCAAATTCATCGATGGTCTGAAGGTTATTGACTCAACTTTAGTTGTAACTTGAGTGTTTTTTATAATCACAATTGTCATTACTGAATTAATATAGAAACTATCATTGCTACTGATTGAGCAAAGAAATATGTTCCTTTACAGTTAGGTTTTCATCTTTGTTACGAAAAAGATTCTACTATTGAACTTCGAATTCAAACGAGCCAATGTGGCAGATATACTTAGAGATTTTCAAGATCCATAAACAGAACATTCTTTACCGCTAATCTTAGAATCATATTCTCCTGTTAAGAAGTCATTCGTCAGTACGCAAAGGATGAGCTGGAGCGTTGAACCATACCAATGTGTGCCTATGAGATTACTTACTCCTGTGGAGCTGAGTACATCGGTCATACTATGAGCCAGCTTATGCAGCGTGCTCGTGAATACTATCCGACTTGTTGACAAGGGGAGAGCAGAAATGCATCCTCAGTTCTGTAACAGAACACTAAATAAACTCAGGATATTTGGCTCCTTTTGATAAGTCCTTCAAAATGTTTATACAAAATGTGACCAAGCCACTCGAAAGGAGTAAGGTTAAGATATCTTGGGATAGGTGAAGCATTAGTGATTGAATAACCGAAAACGAAGACTTAATTGAAAAGGAATATATTTCTTGGTTCAATCAGTCTTTTTTGCAATATCTAAATACGAATTTTTAATAATCTTTATGTTCCAAATAGGATATATCATTTTGAATAAATACAGTTTATTTTTAAAATATCCTGTAATAGTTTTTCTACACCAATATTATTATATTATTGCCTAACTTATATCATTATTATTGTTATCTCGTATTCAGTAGCCTTACCAATCCAGAACAAACATTGAATTCAATTATTTCGATTGCACTTGAAATACCTGGATTACCTTGTTCAATTCAGGCTATCCTTTTATTTAATGCCTTTAAAATATACAATATTGTTATCAAAAATTTAATCAACAAAACTGTTGAAAATATATGTACACCATCTGTAAATACCAAGTTGAATGGGGATAGTGAACAATTAATAATGAATATTAATCATAATATTGATAATGTTGAACAGTTTGAAGAATTGAAAACTGTACAAGATTTAATTATTCATCTTATAGAATTAACAAATTTTCTTATGCGTAAATTTACTCATTATATTCATTCATCAGATTTAGAAGTTCAAGAAAGGGTAAGTTATTTTGAGTGTTTCTGTTTATTTCATTGTGATTGATTGATAGTACTATTGTATGGGGTTAGGTAATGAGCCAAACCTATTGTGTGAGGGCTAAAGATACTATGTAACTATCCTAATCTTAGTGGTTGAAGTGGAGTTTGAACCCGTAACCTATTGTTCAAAAGTCATCCTCCTAAGCCACTGAGTCCCACCTCCAGTACTAGCAGTGAAATTTCTCATTACATTTTGACTCATCATTTATTTGGTGTATTTATCGATCTACACTTTCATAAGTTTCAACGATATAGTGTTATTTATTGACCTATTTAGTTACAAGTGTTTCATATTGTACATCAGATGTTAATTATTTCCTTCGTTTATTGTTCCCATATCCTAACCTTTGAAGTCGGAATTGATAGCTCCTCAGTTGCTGTATTATTGTAAGCTGTTGTCTGTCGATAGGGACAGTAGGGAATTTCTAAACCATTCGATTTTCCTAATTCACACACACCCTAACAGTTGCATTGCTCAGGATTGATCTTGCATGCATATTTACTACATCTTGTATGGACAGTTCAAGTGAGTCTAAGGGTCATTAGCCATTTAGACTTCATCTTATGAAGAAACTGCTTTTCTAGATGAAAAAGAGAGACGTTATTCGTCATTTCAAGTTACTAGTGTCTTTAGATTCGTTCAGTTCACCCACACAATGAATCACACAATTTGGTCCCGTTCTAACCTCGTAATTTAAGGATCCCCACAGATTAATCAGAACATGAATAATTTGAGGGAGAAAGTGTTTTCAGTAACATTTTGTCTTCAAACTTTACAGTTATAAATCCATGAAAATAGGTGAAATACAATAACCAATGTAATGCATACTTTCATCGCCTTCTTTGTGATATAAGTAGTAGAATTTTGACTCATTTCTGTTTCATTTATTAGATGTTGATCCGAAAAAAAAGATTCGGTTATCAATCTTTTAAAGATTTTCACTCTGTGTTTAGCCGCATGCATGCTATTGTCGACCTTTTTTCTAGATTCCTTATCTTACTAGGATCTACCATTTTCGATCTAGCTAGACTTTTGTGAATGTAAGAGTAGAACTTGGGCACTGTGGTAGAATCCAGTACACATTACTGTTCCGCCGTGTAATAAAGCTAATAAATCAACCAAAAATAGAACTTGACTTTTGTGCTTGAATGGTCTAATTGACCCTGATCGACGACTTTGACCTATGTATTTCACTTCTCAGTCTTTACAAAAGATTTTAGTAAACTGAATTATTTTGCCTAATGAAATCAATAGGATCTTTTACCCTGAAAAGCTTATTTCCCACTGCGTGATACTTCTAATACACTGACTTAAGTGGAACTACATTCTAGTACAGTGCCCAATATAACTCCTTTATTTTAACTATCTGGGTTATGAAAATGTGTGTTTTTACTTAGTAAGGCCCACATAATCATTATGTAGGGATAAGTTATGTCAAACTGTGGTGAAAAGTTTCGTGAATGAATAAATGAATGTGAAGTGTTACGTAATGTTTAGAAGTGCCTGCCTGTAGTAATCCTATCAATAAGCAAGGGCATAAGGCATAAGAAAATGAATGACTGTCAATGAAATGAGAGAGACAAAGTAAAAGAATAGAATGAGATGGGAGGTTAGAATGTGAAATTGGTGGTTGAAAAGTTCACAAATAACATGCTGACCCTATTGTGGGCCAAGGTAGACAAAGTGGAAGCACATATTTCTTTTCAACACAGATCCAGTATCATTGTGTTGATTCCTATCGATAAGAGGCATAGTGGTGATCCTTTTGGGAGATTGTGAGTAAATGATTGCAGGTGATTGAAGTGGAATAAAAATCTGGTCAGCAGTCGGACTTCATGACTCAGTCAGTAGAACATCGGGATGGAAATCCGATGGTCGCTGGTTCGAATCCTGCCGTGGTCTAAATTTTCATTTCATCTTCAATCATCACCCAGTTTAAAAACAATATATCACAAAAAGACGTTATCTAACCTAATTTGATGCGAAAGGATTGTACCGTTGGTGCACTTTGTCATTCCTTTCCCTAACCAAGCTGGTGCATGTTCACCAGCGCTCGTGGATTACAGTCTTTTGAGTACGGCCTATGCAACTAGCTCCACAGGAGCAGTTAAACTCATAAATGCACATTGAAGTGGCCATCATTGATAAACTATTCTTGGTTCTCTGTGTCAGTGATGGCTTGTTTAAGAAGCTGACGACAATTCTCGCTGCAGTGAATGCCTTTTTGACAGATCTACTCAATTGAGGTGTTAAGGTATCAGAATTGATATCACCTTTGGAACTTAATCTAAGATGTAAGGGGTTTTTAGCAACGTTATCCGTCTTTATAATCTTTCTAGTTCTACATGTGTATTAATTTATGAAGTTTAATGGATAACTGGGGAACACAGAACTACATACATTTAATGAATAACATTTTGAACACAGTTTATTAGTCCTTAGTTATATCTAGATAACTGCACAACTTTGAGAAATGGTTTATATAGTGTTATCTTGACATGAGAATTGACGGTAAATTATGTCTGAAATGTTATTCAGTAAATATTACTGTTTCCACTATGTTATGCATCTAGGAAATCAACTTAAACATAGCTATAGTCTACTCAAGTACTCAAGTCTTGTTCTTATTCTAATTTTATGGTATATTTTTTATGATATCTAGGTTTGGTTACTTAAGTGTTCTCGTCGCTAGCACATTAGCTAACTTAATCATATTCATTGCCTCAACAGCTAACATAATTTTGATGTTAATTCTCACAGGTAATGAGGTGTAGTTCAGTGGTTTGAGATGAGTATTGACTAATGAGTCACGGGTTTGAACGTCGCTCCACCTACCAAGGTTTGGACAACCAAGTAGTACCACTAGCACTCGCACAATAGGTGTGGTTCATTGTCTACTGCACAGATGTTCTTAAGGTGTCTGAGTGCATTACTTTTTTAATTTTTTATAATATTATAAACATCCACGCCATACTTGTTACGAAGGTCCTGATTGAAGTTGAGGGCCGAGTCCAGTTTAATCTTTATTTAAGTAGAAAAATCAAAACAAGATTTTTCTAAGCATTTCTCTGTCTATACTACAGCTTCTTAAGCAGAAAATCCGGATTTTAATGAAACATTAAAATATAAACGGTCAAATGGTATATGTAACAATTTGTGTTAGCAGATGTTTAGAATATTGAATTGTTTCTGATGACAAATGACAATAACCGCATGAATTTGTAATGACTAACTAGTTAGAAATAATCAATCTGAACAATAAATCGGCTAACCAATAGCTTTATCATAGTAATTGTTACACACAGCGAAACATTCAGAAAAATCCTGTTTCTGATTTTCTAAACACACTGGGATTGTATGAAAACTTATATTATGAAGATTATAATACGTCATATGAATTAGCTGTTAAACTCTCAAATTCTAATTGGACTCATGTAATATAACGTCAGCTATAATTTGTCTAAATAGGATTGGATATTCATCGTCAGCAATTACTATTATTATTATTATTATTATTATTTGACCTTCTGGTTCCTGGTGGAACATACAACTTCAGTACCACGTCACCATTTCACTCTCTTCTCTACAGTCTCCGTGGCTACCCAGAAACTTTCATCTCTTCCTCACACCATCTCCTACATTCCACCCTCGGACCCCAACTCCTCGTTTCACACGCAGGTTCCACTCGAAGGTCTGAACTGGCCTGGCCTGACCTGACACGTCATGTCCCCAAATCGTCTTCTCACTCTATGTCCAATACAATCCATCCCAACTTTCTTCCTCTGAATATTTATTGCGTGATAGGTTCTTGGTTGCTTCGTTCCATGCCAGCCAGCCAGAGTTCCTCCTCACTTATTCTCATTATTCTGGCCATCTGATCTTCAGGATCGAGTGAGCGTAGGTGGCAGCTGTTCATACATGTCTGTAGTTCCTTGGAAATGCTTACCGTAACACGTCAAGTCTCTCAACCATCACACAGAAGCACTGACTTGACTGGCATTAGAGTTGGAAATCCAGATCTCGTTCACGCTCTATGCTGAGTGCAATGCAGTGTGCTGCAGTAGATCACCACATTGATTTCAGATTAATGCAGGAAGGCCTGTCTTGCTGTCTTTCCTATCCTGGCTAGCTTTCATGTCCTCATCTGTGTCGCCGATGCCCGTCGTTGTAACAACGCTGCCTAGGTAGATAGGTAGGTAGGTGGAAGAGACAACTTCGTTTAGATTTCTCCCGCTCATGCTGATTGGTGCTTGTTGTTGTTGTTGTTGTTGTTGGTGGTGGTGGTGGTGGTTGCGTATCTTCATCACCTCTGTCTTCTCCACGTTCACCTGAAACAAGTCCTGTGTTCGCTATCCTGCTTCTTCTGTCAGCTTGTTGGTTTTTGCCTGTAGATCTTCGAGTGTGTGCTACAAGATATTAGACATAAATCATCGTCGGCGAAATCCAAATCTTCTTCTGTGGTCTTTTCATCAGCAATAAATATCGGTAAATGTTCTTTTTGACTCAGTGAAAAATCAGTAAACACAAGTCAACATACCGTTATGACTTCATTTACATGATAATATCATCTAGTTGCCCAGGATGGACGAGATAGAGCCAGTTCGAAAATAGCACTCATTACTTGAAATTTAAGTGCTAAAGCTAGTAAACTACACCTTATATTCAGTTATTTCCTGCTGTTTCTTTTTTATTTCAAATGCCTTTAAGGCTGTATCAATTCATCAACTTTTGAGCTTGGTCACAAAACGTTTGACAAAGATTGAATCATTTTTAACTACCTCATCAGCTGTACCACATCCTGATTCATCAAAACCTGTCTTGAAAAATCATCCTCCAATTACGTCACCTAGTCACCAGTCATTGAATAATCTTGAGAGTCAACTTCAGAGGTTACCACCTTCAGGTCTTGCTGTCACTAATACTCCTATTAATGTCAGTACAGGTGACAATGATGATACACCATCACGACGCAGTTCAATGCAAAAGGAAACTTTACCTACAATCACATCTGCATTATCACCGTCTGTAGTGCTTAATTTAATTCAGTTAATTACAGATGAATTGAATGCGTTGTTCGCTGGTGAAATTATCCCAGTAGCACCGAAAGCACAGAAAAAAGTTCCGATTCCTGAGGGACTGGACTTAGATGCTTGGATAAATCCACCTGCTCCAGTTCGTAAACAACCATGGAGAAATACTGTAGATTTTATTGGGGTAAGTTATTTAATTTCTTAATTCATCTTGGTTACCTTGTGGTTATTTCTTCGGCATATTTAGTACTTATGTTTTTGGTTGGAGTTATAGTTTCGCTAGTTAGGTAGTTTGGTTGACTTCTCTCACTGAATTGTGTTTTCGTCCTTATCAACCTTTTTCGATTTCTCAGATGTATTGTATACCTCACCTCACCATAATAAGTGTGGTTCACAATCTGGTGCGCAGTTAAAGATATACATGAATATATAGTATTACAATGAATACGATGAAGAATGGAAGAAGTCGACTCTTTCTTTTTGAAATTCCGTCACATGCCGTCGATAATTTCAATCTCTTCGAAATTTTTGTTTGTGAAGCTGTAGCTCACTAGTTTAGGCTGTTGACTACCAACCTGTGGGTCACGGGTTTCAATCGCGCTCCAACTATCTCGATGTAGGCAGCCAGGTAGTAGTATTAGCCCTCATATAGCAGGGTGACCTATTGCCTATTGCACAAACATACACATTATTGCTGTTTACATGTAGGTTTGGATTTCGGCAGTAATACTTTTCATAAAATTAAAGTAAATCAAAGTAAATGCCTATAATTAAACCGAATTCTCATACTGTAACAGTTAAACCAAGGCAGTTTATAAACTTGATTGCAAACCAGTGATGTACGTAAGCATTATAATTTTGAGGCAATCCACTGGTGTATTGAACCCCTGAGTTTTGATTCAGCTACGGTAAAAGGATAGTTTATTGATAAGAATTCTTTACCTGCTTGGTTATTTTCACCTTGTTTCTAGCGGAGAACTTATTATTTCATCAGAAAATACATGCGCTTTCACTCAGTCTGTTCGCCAGATATTCTGTCGTTTGATATACGTCAAGTTGAAGATCGGAAACATTTATCATTGATGTAAAACGAATGTCAATACCTATGAGTTATGGGTAGATATTGATTTGGTCATTTCTTTCTAGTACTCTTTCGACTAGAAACTAAGTTTCATATCTTGCTTACCATGAAACAAGATGTAGGTTTTTTCCAATTTATCTCATTGCTTCACTTCTCAACTTCACTATCAAATGATATTATTGCTGAAAATTTAAATGTTATTCCTGATGGTTGTGTAGATCGTGTACATCTATCAAAACCTGAAAGTAATATCGCTTTGTTCTTCGATATATTACATACGGATGAATAAGCATTTACTCCCTCAAAATCACTAACCATATGATACTGTTCACATTTCACTTCATAGGAAAGACTTTAATAAGATTATTATAATTAAACCTTATCGAGAATTTGTTTTTACAAGTGTTTGTCGCAAGTCATTAGAAGATTTGTATATCTAGGTAGTTAAGAGTGTCTGCCAGATTTTCATCTAACTGAAAGTTAAGTGTACAACACTGGCTGCATACAGTTGTTTCCATACTTATAAGAACTTTTTGTTCTTAGCTAACAAATTTGTTCTGAACCATCTATCTCCCTGAAACCCTTATACGAAGCCTTCGTGGTATGTGTATATGGTCATAATGAAGGTATTATTCGATATATAAATCCTCGGAATAGAACACAATTCAACATATTCACCACTTTGAATTCCACGACGAATATTATTTAGTGGCAACACAGCATGTATAAAATAAAGTGATAGATGGGTCAATTAGTGATACATATTCACTTGACGCCTGATAACAGCTTCAGAACAGCAGATACTAAGTAGTCAGTGAAGTTTCAGAATTTTTCGTGCATGTATATAACACATTCACATTACATTGGATCTTGGAAACGTGTCCCAGTTCCTGAAACAAGATGTATTTCTTGGTTTAATAATAATGACAATAATCACTTTATTCCAGACAACATGTATGATACAGTGCGAAATTCTCAGCACTTAATATTTCAACAAACTCATTCCTTGTAGAATATTTTTAAACGAAATAGTTATTGGACATTAGCTTCCGGTCTAGACTGGTGAATGAATAGAAAGTAAAGCAAAATGTTTCGTAGTGGTAGTTTATTCAACCAGTACATAAATCTGCTACTGTAAATAGGTATTTTAGGAATGACAATGTGCTACATTTTTGTGTATTTATAACTCCATTTCTTACTGGTGTAATGTTTTTCAGTTGTTTTGTTGTTGGCTTGAGAAACTACAGTTTGAAAACATATTAAAAACGTGCAACAGTACATGATACGTTTGAAAGACATAATTAGAAGATTTTAAAAAATCAAAAGGGAAGAATTTGATAAAATATTTTCGGTAGAAAATGTTTGGTAACCAATTGTTCAAACAGACTGCCAGATTGAAAGTAGCAATGAATATCGTCGTCAATGGAGAAGATTCACAACACTATGTTTCATCCAAAAGAGAACCTTAACTGAACACTCATGGTTTTATCAGATATTGTAGTAAGGAGATTAAATCAATTGGTACTTATGAAGAATACCCACTCTGTCCATTCGTATTTAACTGTATAAAATATATGTTGGGAATTGCAGGTGATACACAACCATTGGATCAATCGTACTGGCTGAAATCTATTTATGCCTTATCTTCATGTGAATTTGAGAAATGTTATTATTCATTACACTTATTCCACGTTGTTTTTGTCTGTACTATGTAAAAATCTTTTGTTGTTATTTTCATCTCTTTATCATAACTCCTATGGAATTCCACCTGCTGTACGAATATGAAGTGTAGCACCTTGGAATGCAAATTAGTATCTGGTGCAGTTGCATCGAGTAAATGGTGACCCCGCAAACTGTTATTATTGATGGATCATTTCTTCATTGTGATGCCTTAGTTAGCTCAATAGCACAATGCTTAACTATCAATAAAAGACTCAAAGCAAAAAATTACAGAGTATTTTACTGTGTGTATGATTCTGTACTTTGAGTTCGGTCAAAATGTTCAATGTTACTACACCCACTTTCGTCTAGGACAATTATCAGTATCACTAAACCTTAAAAATTATGGATGAGATTGGTGATGCGTGTATGTGTGTGCTTGAACTTTCACGCGGCTACTAATATGCGTCTAGTATAATTTTCCTCCCAAGTTAGTTACTTCTCTATCGCACTTCTAAGGAGTGGTTGACATGCTATTCGAAGAAAATTTTTATCTGAAAATGATCAGTTTTTAGTCTTATTTTGAATAAAGTGATTGGTAGGAGTTTAAACATGAGCTATTTCATTTCTTAATTTTATAATGGTTTTATATAAGTAGTTGGAAGTAGGTTAACAGTCTAGTACCGGAAATTTATTTGTGAAATTCCATTAGGATAGGTGTTTGACGTTTCACAACGCTGTGGAAGTCGCTTCTTCATTTTCTAAAATTGTGGTTGGATTCTGTTTGTCCTATACAACTTATCTTGTTAATTTTTCTCTACTGTGTATCGATGTATGACAAAGATAATGTGTAGCACTTAAGACATAGAATTCAGACAATCTTTATAAGCAGCTTTGAGCATTTTTCCTTTTCAGAAATCTGTAGTTCTGTGTACCCGATATATTCTGTGATACCAGCTACCTTGACATCTTATTATATTCCACTAGCGAATTATTGTAATTAATTATAAAGTTCCTGAGTATGGGTTTCTTCAGAGCTAAGTAATACCCTTTCTCTAGAGTTCTTGTCTTTCTCTACTTTGGTATGACCCATTCAATTTAGTTTCTAATTTCCACTGACAAATGGTTGATTCATCGAGTTTGTTATAAACAATAGTTGATAATGGGCTGCCTGCTTTATTGTTTCATATTGGATTTCAACTGATTGTTTTTACCGTCTAATTCATTTTCCATAAATCTGTATTTTACTTCTTAGAGGAATCTTCCAGGCGCGTGAAATCTACAGCCTGATACTAAGTAATAATAATAGTGTAGACCCATGAAAAATAATGTCTCCCCCTTTTCAACAGCATAAGGAAGAAAAATCAACGTGAAGAAAGAGAAGAAGAAGTGAAACGTGATTACATAAAGTAACTTGAAAAGTGGATAATATACATCTGGTGTGAGATAACGAATAACTGGTTGTAGAACAATGATATATTCATTATCTACTCAAGGTTTGAAAAGCACCGTTTTAAATTTTAAGAACCAGTTATTCGGGAACCCTAAACTTTGGCTTTTTTACTTGTCTCATCAATAAAGCGTGTCTTCAGCAGTGGGTGAATTTATGTTCTCTATCCATTTTACGACTAAATAATTTTTGCTGCTTCGATTCAGTCATTGTACTAAATTTTTTATGCTATACCCAACAAAACCGGGATTATGCACCGAAACAGCTAGTGGCCAAGTATGAGTAGAAGAACTAGACGAAACCATCTATATCAGATTTTAAAGTATTTCAACCTAGATTGTTGTTTTCTCAGTCATAATTATTTCAGTATTACTATATAAGACACCTTCATAACTTCATTGACTTAACTTCGTATCCGAATCCTGTTTGTGAAGTATGCAGACAGGCAACATCAATGTAGTAACTGGGGTTGTTGCGTAGCGATCCAAGTTACTTCATATCAGCACATCAGGCAAAAGTGCACTAAGATGAACGTTGAATAAATAAAGAAGGAAATAGTCAAAAGAGTGGTAAAAAGTCATCAAAAGACAGCAAGCAGGAGTGAGAGAATACTGAATTAGGTATAACGATTAAGGTTAAGACAATATGTGGATACATTCATCTGTGCCACTGAGATTGATTCTCAGCCATACCACGTAGTCTCCAACCACCGGTTCATGCTGTCATGCGGATCCCAACCAGAAAATCTAGATTTCCCCACATGGCTCAGACCAGCAGTCAAAGACTTCATGAATTTTTGCCATGTTCTCATTTGTCCGCCTATTACCTTTTTCCAACTAGAATCTCCTTCAGCCAAAATTGTGTGACATGGTAGATATTGATTACGTATGCGTAACACACATCCCAGCCACATGAGTCGATGAAAGCTCATCACTTCAAAAACTGACGTTACTTTTCTACCTAAAACTTTATGGCTGACTTCTAAGTTACTGATATGATGGCGCCATGAAACAGCCTCTGTTACAAAGGTGGCTAGGGTCGAACTCCAGAAGTCTTGTAAAGTCCTCTACCTTAGTCTGTTTGAACCTATTACCCTCCGTCATTTCAGATTACTTACAGTCTTCACGTCTAAAGTTGTTGGAGACCCTGCCTCAAGGTTCCATTTGCATCCAACGTAATATTTAAACTGTTCATCATTCTAATCAGCTGTTCTGCTAGTGAATAACAGGCCCAATTCTCTCCTCTATAGTGTCATTAACCGCCAACATTTTTTGTGACAGTTTTATTTGATCAGTCTAGGTAGATGTCTATAACCTGTCATTGTTGCCTTTTCCATTTCTTTAAGAATGCTGACCGAGAGACGTGGAGTTGTGCTGCATGATCGCGAAGCCTAAGAGACATCTAATTGAGGTCGAAATTGTGAGATTTAAATTCATTTCGAATTCTTACCACCAGTACTAGATCACAGTGTAGAGGGCAGTGTTCTGCTTTTCTTACCACGCTCTTTCCAACAGAAGAAGGCAGCATCAGTGGGGTATTACTTGCTGTCTATGCGAAACACTTCTGTCATACCTCGATCCAGCCAGGAATACTTCTCCGCTCTCGGACTGCTATCATAGCATAGCAGTTTACACTATGATGACAACTGCTTTTTGTCTCACCGCTTTCTAAGTAATTTTTCTGGCATAGTATAACCTCAAAGGAAAAAGCGTTCCAACAGCATAGCTTGTTGGGTCATTGTGATATACAAGCTTGACTACCTCATCAAGTTAGCAGCTATAGGTCAGGTTTCGACGCAAACATGTTTATTTGTTGACATGAATCTTTTTAGCAATTGATAAACCTTTCACTATCCTCTAGTTTAATGCTTTTTTTCTCATTAGCTTTCAAACAAGTCGGTAAATGATGATCATTCTATGCATTGGAATAAGGAATTGAACAACACAGAAGGTGATATATTCACTGATCTACAGGACTGTAAACCCCATTCTGTTCAGTTGACACCTGAAGAGTTGGCTGAAGTGAGTTGGATAAATTGTATTTTTCTTACTGTCTTGTGTAGCTTACTTAAGATAAATGAAAGAACCTATTGCACATAAAACATGAGATATGATTAAATTATGAGTAGATTATTCCCTGTTCACACATTTCCTCTCATCATTTATTAGTAGCTAAATTATGGTGCTACATTGACATTTGGTTGGTAAAATCATATTGGTTATTTTAGTTGATATCGAAATACTCATTCTCTCTCTCCCTTTCTTAAGTTTACATAACAGGTACGACTTTTGAAATCAGTTTATGTATTTTTGGGGCGACTTTAAAGGCCACCCTGGAAACTGCTGTATTAACCAATCCCGTTTTGGTATTCCGGTTAGAAAGGTAGTTTTTAATAAAATATTGAAGCCTAATTAGTTATCTCAGCAGTTGCTATGGTAGCTTCTAGAGTCGCTCTAAGCTCTTTTTCATAACAAGATTGATTCAGAGTCTAGTTCATAAAATGTAGACTGCATAGTTGAAGTAATATCTGTTCTTATTGTTCATTATCAGAATCGCAGTAAACGTTACAGAAAATACTTTAAACAAGGAAAGATAATTGTGTACTTTTGAAATTCTTCAGTTTAACGGGGTTTAACCATTTAGTTGTTTCTACGTATTGGTAAGTGGAGCTACGTCTCATTGGTTTGAAGGGGTGACTTTAAACTAGTGAACCGTGAATTCGAGCCTCGCCCCACTTGCCAAGGTTTTGGGAGTTAAGTAGTGGTATCGTTATTCCTCACACAATAGGTGTGTTTCATTGTTTGCTGCATGAATGTGCACAAGATTGCTGAATGGATTTCGATTCGATTCTATGTCTACCAATTGGTAATCCCATTTTAAGAGATTATTTCATATTTCACTTTATATTAGTTGGATGACTTGTTATTTGTTGCTTACTCTACCTCTTGACGATAAACTTTAAGATGCGTTCAAGGCGGCTGCAAAACCAAGAAAACAATCCTAATTATCTGAAACCAATAAATCTAAAGAAGAACAATGTACCCCAATCAGAAGATTCCTTGACTGGACAACATCGAGATGCTATTAACTCAGATAGCCCTAGTATAACTGGAAAGGCAAAAACAACAGGGGATCAACGCTTTCAAACACCAAATATTGGTAAGTAATTTATTTTAGTTTTCAGTTATTTATTCACTTTACTACTTTCTTTGACTAACAGTTTCAGTAATCAACCAAGCAGTCATATTTTTTACACCAACTGAAACAAAATTAGTCAATACCTGAACTGAGTTTTACCTCTATGCTTCGTCAACACTAGTGTTTTCTCTTCCAACTATAATTGTAGTCAACTTGAGGACCTAGATGAATATATTAGATGTCTTATGCATGTTCAATATATCTCAATTTTGGGATGAACCTACTGAATCATGCGTATATTAACTTTAAAGCATAACTATGTATGAGTTTGAAAATCTTTAAATATTATTCAACTCATCCTTAAAATGAAAAACGTTTTGTTAGTAGATACATTGAAAATAATCAAAGGAATATTCTACACGCTTTCATCTCGAACCGTAGACAATGTTTTATTGAAATAAAGACTGAAGTTTAAAATCTTATTATCCAACCCCACTCTCGCGCTATTTCGTAATCTGACAGAAGTAGGAAAATTTTGACTATTAAATTCCAACCCGGTGGCTAATAGTAACGTGCTCGCCGCGAATCTCGAAGGTTGTCGGTTTTATTCCTGGTATGGTCATCGGTGCGCACTGTTAAAGAGTCCCATTGGACACCGAAACAGCTGTCCAGTGGTACCAGGTTTTCATTAGTTTCCCAACTGATACCCGTCAGTGATAAATAAATACCAAAAGGTGACATGGAGGAGATGGTGTGAGGATGAAATGAAAGCTTATGGGCAGTCGTGGAGCCAGGTTAAGAAGACTGCAGAGAAGAGAGTAAAACGGCGACGTGGTACTGAAGTTGTATGTTCCACTAGGAACCTAAAGGTCAAATAAATAATAATAGTAATAATAATAATAATAAGCATAGAAGTCCATCTCCAGCTTCCTCAAGAAATAATCAAAGTGAAGATACTGGAGATGTACATAAATAGTAAATAAGTAAACAACTAATAAATAGTGATAATAATAATACTTTTAACTTGGATCATGTGATCAAGTTTATAACTTGTTACATTTAATGACACATCATGACTTAAGTGCACTTCCCTATTCAAAATATCACCTGCTTCACTCTTATCTTATAGCTTTGAACGCAACACAAGGTACAGTCAACCGTTTTACAACTTTCTATGATTGACAACTCATATTTCAGAATGTGTCCATAACAAGATCACATTAAGCAATAAATTATGATTACGTAGCACGATTATTCAGGCTTATTCAATATAGAGGGTTGTGGGGATTTATTGATTTCATGCTGGTATTCGTCGTGGACTGACATCATTTGAAAGAAGATTAAAAGTCTGGAAGCACAGGACAGCTGTTTCATCCTAGTATGGAACTTCTCAGCAGTGCGCACCCATGACCCCTCCAGGGGTCTAACCCAGATGCTTCGGGTTCCGTGACCAGGACGTTGCCACTAAGCCGCTGGGTCGATATCCAATGGTCCACATTCCGAACTTAGTGTTGTGTTAGATAACTATGATTTCTGAACAGCAGGACGTAAAAAAATATTTAAAATAAAAGCCTTTTAGACTTTTTAAATGATTAGATAACTATCTTTATAAGATTCTGTTGAAACATGAAAATAATCTATCAAAGCATAACTATTTAAGTTTCCTATTTTTGTTTTTCTTCGCCCACTTCAAGAAGTTTAACATATCGAGTCTGGTTTCTTGAATATTTTTAGATCGTTGTAATTCAATTTTATATGGCCTTCTATCCTATTCTGCTTTTTTAAGAATAATTTGTATTTCAAGTCAATATAAATGTTATCGATGTATCACATTTTTTATAGGGCGCACACTGGCTACATCCGATCAGTTTGCAGCTGACATACGTAAACGATTTCAAACTATCGCTTCTAATGATAATCGTAAATTAAGGTAAAAATATCATGTTATGTTTATACTTCACTGTTTCCATATTAATGAATGGTAGTGAAATATATTCTAGATTTTATCCTATATCAGTATCATCACTTCTAAGGTATTTACTTAGTTGATAGCCATTCTGTTTTTACACACTGTTTTATTTGAATTCTGAAGTTCACAGAAAATTGAGAAGCTTATTTTTGTGTGTTATTTTGATAATCATATGAACAGCCAATTGATGAAGCCCCCGAAAAAAGAATCTTCCTGTGGATAGATCATATCACGCATTTAAGCGTATCCATTCTTAAACTCTGAGGAGCGAGAAGATGGGCATACGCTGTCTGACTGATGAAAAGAGCCTAGAAGATTTGAATTTCGCCGACGATGATTTATGTCTAATATCTTGTAGCACACACTCGAAGATCTACAGGCAAAAACCAACAAGCTGACAGAAGAAGCAGGATAGCGAACACAGGACTTGTTTCAGGTGAACGTGGAGAAGACAGAGGTGATGAAGATACGCAACCACCACCACCACCACCACCAACAACAACAACAACAACAAGCACCAATCAGCATGAGCGGGAGAAATCTAAACGAAGTTGTCTCTTCCACCTACCTACCTATCTACCTAGGCAGCGTTGTTACAACGACGGGCATCGGCGACACAGATGAGGACATGAAAGCTAGCCAGGATAGGAAAGACAGCAAGACAGGCCTTCCTGCATTAATCTGAAATCAATGTGGTGATCTACTGCAGCACACTGCATTGCACTCAGCATAGAGCGTGAACGAGATCTGGATTTCCAACTCTAATGCCAGTCAAGTCAGTGCTTCTATGTGATGGTTGAGAGACTTGACGTGTTACGGTAAGCATTTCCAAGGAACTACAGACATGTATGAACAGCTGCCACCTACGCTCACTCGATCCTGAAGATCAGATGGCCAGAATAATGAGAATAAGTGAGGAGGAACTCTGGCTGGCTGGCTGGCATGGAACGAAGCAACCAAGAACCTATCACGCAATAAATATTCAGAGGAAGAAAGTTGGGATGGATTGTATTGGACATAGAGTGAGAAGACGATTTGGGGACATGACGTGTCAGGTCAGGCCAGGCCAGTTCAGACCTTCGAGTGGAACCTGCGTGTGAAACGAGGAGTTGGGGGTCCGAGGGTGGAATGTAGGAGATGGTGTGAGGAAGAGATGAAAGTTTCTGGGTAGCCACGGAGACTGTAGAGAAGAGAGTGAAATGGTGACGTGGTACTGAAGTTGTATGTTCCACCAGGAACCCAAGGAACAAATAATAATAATTCTTAAACACTGGGCTACCGCTTAGAATATTTCTGCACTCAACAAGGTTTCGATACCCAGATTGCGTCGTTTTTCCTCGCACAACAAAATTCTACTGGTTATACAGTAGAGAAACTTATATGTGGCTGACGAATTATGTTTACATTTGTTTTAATGGTTTTTGCTTATACGTTTTAGGCTGCAATTTTTCATCTACCTATCTATTATCTAAAGTCTATCATTGCAACGCTCAAATACAAAGTGATTTTTAAAGAATATGTGTATTGAAAGTTGATGTTATTTCTTCCTCTTGGCAACAAATTCATTAAGCATAATTCTTTGATTTAGCATATCGATAGTACGTAGATAGTTGTAGAATATTAATCTCGTGGTAAAAATTCAAAGTCACTACTGGTGCGAATTTCTTTAGTATTATATAACTATCTGAGATAGCCGTGATTTGACATACTAGTATTTGTAGTGTATTGAAGGTGAGATGAGGAATTTGGACCGTGGCCGGATTGGAACCAGCGACCACTGAGTTTCCGACCCGATGCTATACCAACATGATATTCGGGCAAAACCTTTGGTAATTGAAGTGGAATAAAAATCTGGTCAGCAGTTGGACCTCGAAGCCCAGTTGGTATACCATCAGGCCGGAAACCTGGTTGGTCACTGATTTGATTCCGGCCATGGTCCAAATTTTTATTTCATCTTCAATCATCACCCAGTATAAAATTCTTTATTCTTAATCTTCGAATTTTCTTGTATAGAGATTTTGACTTCGGTGTATACGTTGTTTTCATTGCTATCAAGTTGAAATGTCTGAGTAAACTAAGTAGTTAGAAAATAGTTGATTGATCATATTCTTCCTGATTGGTATTTCAGGTTGTTTATTTCTTACTCTAGTCACTGTTGTTTATCTCATTGATATCTTATCACTGTATCGATCGTGATCATTTTTATTTTCATCAGGTATCATCCCTTCGTTGTAAATATTAAAGTTGCTTTCATCAGTTCAACTACTGGTGTTTGATTTCAGCTCAAATCGATTTCCACAACTTCCTTTATTTTATATGTTCTCATTCGATGAACTTTTAAAAATTGTGTTTGAGCTGATGTAGTTTCTTCTACTGAATTTACCGACAGTGTCTTCAAAATATTCTAATCTGTTTCTTTTCAATCAGTAAATAATTATCTGAAATATATAAGCACCATTTTCAAATTATTTTCTACGCTGAACATGAATTATACTGAAATTTGTGATTGTGACAAAATAACAAAAATGCAGTTGTTAGTTTCTGTGGTAATGGTAGGTAATACGTAATCTTGTTTTCAAGGTACTATTGTAGGGGGGTGTTGCTGATAAGAATGGATATAAGTAGTATATGTTGAAAGGGAGACAGAAATCATCAGTGGCTAAAGATTCTGTCAAGAGACAACGCGGGCGTATTAAGAGCAAATCAAGAGACAAGCAGAACCGGAAATGAAAACACATTTTGCAAATAACTGTCTTAGTGAAAGGTGTACCATGTTTAACAACTACTGTACCACATATTAATAAAAAACATTCCTTCCTTTGTCTCTGTCTTCTTGTTTCCTTCAGTATTTATCATAGACTTACATTCATCCAGTGGGTCAGAGTCCCACGGTTCACAGTTTCCTACTTCTAATGAATACTACCTTGAAAATAAAATAACTATTAACCTCAAACTAAAAAACTGTATAGCACTCATTAGTAAAATGATTCAAGATGGCTATCCTGAAGTTCTAATGAAAAGCCGTGACCTTTGAGGTCAATCAGTTGAAAATGAAGCGGATGTCGACTGAAGACGTTAGTGGACAGTTCTGTTGTATCGTAAATCGACAGAAGTAGGAGACTGTGAACCGTTGAACCCCAACCCAAAGGCTGAATGGTTAACGCGTTCACCTCGAAACCAGAAGGTCTCGAATTCGATTTCTGGCACGGTTATGGTTGCGTACTGTTGAGGAGTCCCACAATAGAACGAAACAACTGATCAGTGCTCCAGATTTGTAGGGCACCTCCAAATGACATGAGTCAGCAATGAATTCTACCCTTAAAAAAATATGACCTTAATAAACTTCAATCTACAGAATCTTGTTTATATAAAAGTAGTTTTATTGGAGAGAAAGTGAGGTTTGATTCTGTTCAAGTATTTCGCATTAAAGATTAAAAATAGTCAGATAAGCGATAAAAGCCTGTAAGTAGTAAACCATTGTTTGGTTCCAATTTGGTACTGTTCAGTAGAGTGTATTATGAAAATTGCTTGAAAATAGTTGATAATGATGATTATAATGACAAGAATACTAATCAGAATTAACATTTATCAGTATACAGATAAAAGACTGACAAATAGTCTTCTACATAGGTGGGTGTTCAATCGTGTTCAAATAAAAGAAGTAGTTGGGCTTACTTTAAACATGTCAGCTAATAAATATCCCTGAATTTGCATTTTGATATATGAATGCAAAATATAACAATTTGAATGGTTATCTAATCCACTCATACTTATCTTTATTGAAACAAAACATAAAGTTTTTCAACTTATTTTGTAAATTTGATATATCTTACTTTGTTAACTAGTCTCAGTATAGCAGGTGATGTTTCTATTGAATATTTTTATCATTTTAATAACGAGCAAACTCTCATATTCTACAATATTCTTTTGTTTTCTAGATCAACAGGGGATAAATTGAAGAAATCTCGTCAGAAAAACCATTCTACTTTAACAATTGATTCGAAAGCAGTAAATGTTATTGAAAAATTAGGTGAAGAGAATGAAGTGAATCATATCAAAGATAAACTTGCTGCTTCACATATTGTTCGTTGTGAATATGATATGCCTGAGGTAGGTTGTTAGTGTCTTTTATTTAATGATCACATTTGCCAACTGAGTTCGGTTAACATTTGGGAACAGATTGTGTAAAATCGGTTACTCTTAACTAACCAATTATTAATAATTTCTTTGCTTAACAAGTTTTCACTCTGCTGTATATACCGATAAAATTTTTAAGTATTTTTTTATCACCTGAAACCGGTAAACACTATAATGATTGTTTTCTAGGCAATTGCAAAATTTACACTAGCTATGATTAGACGAAAAGTCATTTTTAGAAGATGTTGACAGGTATTACTATTCATTGATATATACTTGTAGTGCTCCGTTGTTTTATTGGATCGAATTGTTCGACCTCTATTGACATATGGGCTGGTATGCGGATGCCTCGATATTGCCTGAATGTTAATTATGCTAATCTAGTTGGATGTGGCTAGCAGAGGAATCCAGGACTCGCCTTTCATCCTATTTGGGACTTGTCAACCGACTCGGCAACCAAGCAAATTACCATAATTGACATTCAGGTAATATTGAGGCATCCGCATACCAGCCAGCACATATGCCAATAGAGGTCGAACAATGCGATCCAATAAAACAATGGAGAATTACAAGTATATATCAATAAATAGTGCTAACTACTAGCCGTTGTACGAGAAGTGGCTATCGTTCCTCCGTGGGATAGTGAATGAGGCCTTGGCGTTTGAAGTGATGGATACGAGGTTCGAGTGTCGGTGGGAACAACATCACTGACTGGGGTGCAGGTACGTGCGGCTGACGAGTCCCCAGAATAGGACGAAACGCGCGTCCTAGATTTTTCTGCTGGCCTCAACCAAACAAATTACTATGATGTTGACAGTTGTTTAAAAAATATTTTTTACGGTCTAGCATGAATACAATTCTCTTTCTCTTCTATATACTAGCTCATCGAAAGTAGTACATTCATCTTCATCCTTATTCTGAATTAATTCAAAAAATGTTTATCAGTATAATTTACTTGGTAGTAACTAGCAGTCGAATGCAGAATGTGTTTCGTCCTGTCTGGGACTCATCAACTCGATGTGCCTGCACTCCAGTGAGTGATACTATCCCCACTGAGACTCCAACCTCGTATCCGTCCCTTCAAACACCAAATAAATTATAACAATGAATATTCAAGCAATATCTTGGCATCCGCATAGGAGCACATTTGCTAACGGAGATTGGTCAATCCGATTCAGTGTAGCAGCGGAAAATTACAAGTATCAACACATAATGATAACTTTATTATTGTTCTCGTTATTATTATCATCATTATTACTATTACTATTTAGGGAGTTTCAATTGAAAATGAATTGTTAACTGATCCTGAAGACACCAGTGACCCACATCATCGTTTAAATATTGTACTAGATGATTTTATTACACAAGAAAATAAACCATACGCTTCTACATCATCTCGGTTGGCTAAACATTCAATGAAGCATAAGAATTCATCAATAAAAGCATCAAAATTATCCGTTAAAGTAAGTTGTAGATACTCGACAGCCTATTTACTTAACGTTTGTGATGAAATTATGATTTATTTTTGAATCTTTTTCATGTCACCGTTTTACTCACGTGTAATTTTTAATGCTTCCATAATCGAAAAAAGAATATCCTTGAGAGCTTCTCTTCATGGAAAGGAACTGGCAAACAAATAAATCATTAAAACCTTACCCAAATGTGAACAGTTACACATTACCTATTGTACCTTAAGTTGTTCCATTCGATCTCGTGAGTGCTTGAACTCAAGTACTCTAAAGTATTTTCAATATAAAATAAACGTGGTAATCAGTGATCAAAAATGTGAGATAGTTACAGCAATGCTTTCCGTACTTATTAGTTCTTCATAACCCATTCACTTTGAATCCAACCGTCCTTCTTGACATTTACGGATATGTTCTAGTACCTTTGATTTCATAGTTCAATTACTACTCCCAATGTATGTATCACCGCACGCATATGCAAATCGGTGTACACTCAGTGGGAGGTGACTTACTTATCAGTGTAATGATAAGGTTTACTTCCAGGTATAAGTTTCGTCTTCTCACTAATGCTCGGTCTGAGTGCATGGTAAACCTTTCTGATAACAGAATGAAGCCTTCACCTTAAGATCATACTGTTTGATTCCACCTTAGACGATAGCGTGATCCAAACACCCATTCTAGGGACACAATACTGAATAGTTTGCAACCTTGATACGTTCTTATACCTATTGAGGAAACTCAGTGGAAATGTATTATAAAGTAGTGTCTCTGCCAACAATTTCATTTCTATCTATGCATCTTTTTGCAGATAAGTGGATCCCTTGTAAATAAGCATTGAAATAAAACCCATTTATACTCTATTCCCTGGTTAACCAGTTTATTGGCTTCTACCCGGTCCTAAGCCCAGGTAAAGAGAAAAGGTTAGGCATAGGGCTAGCAACCCTACGCCATAAAACCAATCCTACCGCTAAGGAAACTCCAAAGCACAAAGTAAATATGGAAAAATAAAATTAGACTTATTCCTCGCTGGAATCGGCGAGACGAAACGACGCCGGTTGGTGAAAGTCTTCGGGAAGCAAGTCGGCCTATGTTTCTTCTCTTCTCTCGATGGAAGCGAAAGTAAGGATAGAGACATGAAATGTCCGCACCATGTATGAACCTAGCAAGACTGCCCAGATCACAAACGAGATGAGGAGATATGGCATGGAAGTGCTTGGAATCTGCAGATGGAATGGAAGTGGATTTTCCAAACTGTCAACTGGAGAGTCAATAATCTACTCTGATATTGTCACCCAGACGACAACCACGAGCACACTGAGTTTTCGAGTGGTTATCATGATGTCCCCACAAGCATCGAAGGCTCTCATGCAGTGGGAACCAGTGTCCTCCAGTATCAGGATCATGACAGCAAGATTCAACTCAAAAGGAAGGAAGGAAGGAAGGGAAGTCACAATCATACAGTGCTACGCTATCCACCTACAAATAATGCAGATGAAGAGAAGAAGGAGGAATTCTATAGACAACTACAATCAGTATTGGACAAGGCTCCAGATGGCGACATAAAAATTCTAATGGGTGGGGTGACATGAATGCCAAACTGTGAGCGGACAACAGGGGAAGAGAACTTATCATGGGTTGAGAAGCACTCGGTGAGTTGATGAATGAGAATGGGTAATTGTTTGCAGAATTCTATGCATTCAACGAATTGGCGATTGGAGGTGAGGCGAAGCGGTGTGTACAAACACGAGGATATTCACGAAGAGACATGGAATTGATTTCACCAGATGGACACTTTACACTAAAAATCAGATCGACTCTATCTCAATGTGAAGAAAGTGGAGACGCAGTCAGACTACTGGACGCAAGATCAAGAAGGAGAGCAGATGCAGGTTTAGACCACTCTCTTTCTAGTACAAGGAACCTTCCAAATGGAGTTGAAAGCCTTGAAAGAAGTTGATGATAGACTACAGTTGAAGTTGAACACTCAGAAACTGAAGGACGAAACTACAGAGGACATCTTCACGTCAGCCATCAGAACAAAATAGGAGGTATTGAGCAACATTCCTGAAGAAACCTGTGTGGGTGAACACTGGAACTCTTTGAAAGAGATGTGGAGGGAAATCTGCATAACCGTATTAGGAAGGAAGAAGAAGTAAGACGAGGGATGAATCTCGACGGACACATGGAAGCTGATAGAGGCGGGAGAGGAAGATGGTGAAGCAGAAGGTGAACCAGTGCAGTGCAAGGATGCACAAAGCAAAGAAGAACTGAGTACAACGTATAAAACACTACACTGGACAAAAGAAGTGGAGAAGAGTGCGCGGAAAGACACTTCTATGACACACTTCCAAGTGAAGCAGAACAGGCTGCTGTTAGGAGAGACCCGACAACATTATGTGGAAAAACCAGGTTACTATCGCTCTGAGAAGAGATCAGTGCAGGTGAAACCAATGAGAGATAGTGAAGGGAAGCTAGTTACCGAAGAGAAGAAACGAAGGGAAGGATAGACTGACCACTTCGAAAAGCTCTTGAATCGACCACCGTCACGACCTGCAACTCGTCCAGAAATACCACCAGCAGAGAGGCCACAGAACTACCAGTGAACACAGGCCCTCCGACAAAAGCAGAAGTCCTGAATGCCATAAAACTGCTGAAATTCGGGAAGCAGCAGGACCAGATGGAATTCCGCCTAAAGTACTGAAGGCAGACGCAGAGACAACAGCGGACATGCTCACACCACACCACTACTACAGAAGGTTTTGAAAGAAGGGAAGGTACCTGCTGGTTGATTGGAAGGAGGGGTACCTTGTCAAACTCCCAAAGAAGGGAGACCTTAGTCTTTGCAAGAACTGGCGCGGAATCATACTCCTGTTCTTGTCAACTCCAAGCAAAGTATTATGCCGTATCATCTTGGAGAGACTAAAAAATTCTGTACATTCGAAATTCCGACCGGACCAGACTGGCTGGCTGGCTTCGGGAAAAACAAATCATGTGCGGATCAAATCGTAACGCTACGCTACGCATCATCATAGAACAGAGTATAGAATGGCAGTCAACTCTCTACCTCAACTTTATCGACTTTGAAAAGGCTTTCGACAGCATTATTTGGCAGGCAGCTGCTTGAACACTACGGCTTTGGTGCGACAAATCTTTATCAACCTCATTCAACAGCTATATGAGGACGCCACATGTCAAGTGATTAACAACACAATGGAAAGCTCATTGATTTGTTTGAAATGAAGACAGGAGTAAGGCAAGAGAAGGCTGCCGTCTAGTATCACCCATAATCTTCCTGACTATGGATGACTGGAACATGCAGCGAACGATGAGGAGCGAGGTGGGCATATGCTGTCTGACTGATGAAAAAAGCCTAGAAGATTTGAATTTCGCCAATGATGATTTATGTCTAATACCTTGTAGCACAAGCTCGAAGATCTACAGGCGAAAACCAACAAGCTGGTAAAAGTGGCAAGGGAGCGAAGACGGGACTTCAAGTGAATGTAGAGGAGATGGGGGTGATGAAGACATCCCACCAAAAACGACGACAACAACAACAAGCACCAATTGCAGTGAACGGGAGAAATCTAAACGAAGTTGTCTCTTCCACCTACCTACCTATCTCCTAGGCAGCGTTGTTACAACGACGGGCATCGGCGACACAGATGAGGACATGAAAGCTAGCCAGGATAGGAAAGACAGCAAGACAGGCCTTCCTGCATTAATCTGAAATCAATGTGGTGATCTACTGCAGCACACTGCATTGCACTCAGCATAGAGCGTGAACGAGATCTGGATTTCCAACTCTAATGCCAGTCAAGTCAGTGCTTCTATGTGATGGTTGAGAGACTTGACGTGTTACGGTAAGCATTTCCAAGGAACTACAGAGAAGTATGAATAGCTGCCGCACACACTCACTCGCTAATGAAGATCAAATTTGATTCTAGTCAGAATAAATTACCTAGCGCTTTGATGAGCTACACTTCGATTCCAATTATTATGAAAGTATCGAATGGCAGATTGTGCGTATCTGTGTATCTACAAGTTGAGTCGCAAACGCATTGAACTGAAAACGTTGAATACGATATTTAACCATCAGTAGAGTATAACTAAGAACTTCGATTGTTAGTTACATTCCAGTGAAAATATGCGCTAAGAAAGTTGAAAATGAATTCAAAATAGTTAGAATTCAGCGGGAAATATATCACATATCGATTGGAGGAGTGATGTACGGTTTAGCGCGAATCGCTGACCCACCAACCACTTTGTACTCAGTCAACTGTGTGTCGGACATAGTTTAATTAAAGTGGATGAAAAGAAACACAGATTATTACATTCGCTAACATGGACAGTTAGTTACTCTTAAAAAGTATATTTTTTTCAGACACTTTCTCCACAGTTTTATCTTCTCATTGTACAACGTATTTACGAACAATGGAGATCTACTGCACTGTACTCAGCATAAACCGTGAACAAGATCCTGATTTTCAACACTCAGTCAAGACCGTGCTACTGTATGGTTCAGAAAATTGCCACGTTACAAAGAGCATTTCCAACAAACCACAGACATACATGAACAGCTGCCGCTTACGCCCACTCGATACGCAAGATGGAGATCGGATGGTTGGGAAGAATAAGCAACACGGAACTAACTCTGCCTGGCTGCCAACGAACCAACCAACCAAAAACCTATCGCCCAACAAATATGCAGAAGAAGAAAGTTAGGATGGATTGGACATAGACTAAGATGGTTTTGTGACATCACGCATCAGGCTAGGCCAGACCCTCGAGTGGAACCCGAATGGGAAAGAATTGTGTAGGGAAGAAATGAAATCTCTTTGGGAGTCGTGAAACCAGGTTAATAACACTGCAGAAAAGAGAGTGAAGTGGCAACGTGCTACATAAGCCCTATGTCCCACTACGAACCCAAAGGACAAATAATGATGGTAGTAATAAAATCCCTGATAGATAAATGTAGAATAAACATTATATTGGTTACT